TACAAGTACGCTAGTAATCTTGGACAACACAACCTTCCTTCAAATTTTGCCTGCTCTCCTACTCTGTTCTTCACCGTTAGCCACTCAGCCAGGTCCAGTTCGTGTGCTAAAACTCTAAGCAGCATTTATTCCCTCCTCATTTACGCTTCTCGACCCTCCGGCCGTTCGTGACATCTTGAAACCGCGCCCGTAGGCGCCATTGAAGCTTGAAGTGCCATGAGGGGCGCGTCGAAGTCCCACCCCCACCCTTCAAACCCCGGACTTACTCGACACGATATCATCCTGCAGCCAATCCCAGAGTCACTCCAAATACTCCAGTTTCTGAGCTGCCCCCTCCTTCTTCGAAAAGAATTGAGAGGGATGTCAAGAAACTGGGACTCAAACTGATGGAAGAAGGACGGCTATTCTCGGATCACGGTCCTTGTAGACGAGGCAGACGTCCTCTTCGGTGTGTGTTTCACTCAAGTCATGCATATGTTTACTGACAATGTACAGATCCGGACTTTCAAGAATCTACTCGCATGCTTCTTGGTGATATTACTGCAGCCCGTGGTTCACCTGTCCCAGTAATCCCTTCCTCGGCTCTATCCTCGACTCTGGATTCGGAAGCAACAACTACAACAATCTCCTACTCGTTCAACTTCCTTCTCGCCAGCGCAACAATTCCCACATCCCTTGCTACCTATCTTTCAAATTATCATGCATCCCTCACCCGCCTTGTATCCCCACGGCTGCATCACCTCCCTCCGACCCTTCGCACTGAACACACCTCATAGACAGGCGGGAACAAAAATGCAGACATCGAGCGCTGCATCCGTCGCGTATGGGCCGAAGATGCCTTCGTGCACTCCAAGACCACAACCGGTTCCGGCCCTGTCAAACTCTCCAAACTCCTCGTCTTCTGCAACAAACGCAGCAAAGTCGAGCAACTGGCTGCATTCCTTGACGGCCGCGGGATCAAATGCGTCGCGCTCACCGGTGGTGCAGAAACGCGCAAACGAGGGTCGAATCACCATCTCGACGGGTTCTTGGGGCCTGTCCCACGGGTCCGGGTGTGTGTTATTTGGCTCAGACACCTCGTGTGCTTGTCACGACCTCGCTTCTTTCCCATGGGCTGTATTTTTCGCCGATGATCAAGCATGTGTTTATTGTTGACGAGCCGAGGAATATGATTGATTTTTTTGCATCGCGCTGGTCGTGCTGGACGTGTGGGCCAGGTGGGGAAGGTGGTGGTGTTTGGGAGGGCGAAAGGAAGTGGGAGTGGGCGGATGGAGGAGGTTAAAGAGAAAGTCAGGGCTTGCTGGATAGATGGTGGTGGTGGGTCGTTTAAGATTGGGACGTTATATCAACTGATCGTATGTGTATTATTCATAGGCGTCTGATAATCCCTACTCATGGATTTTGCATATTGTGCCTTTACTTGTGGCAACCGTCGCACATAGCGCAGAGCCAGTACTTGGCGTTGCTAAATTAACCTCCAGTTACAGTGGAACTCCTGATAAAATTTATGATAAAACTATGCTTAATCGACAACACAACTTCCCTTTTAATTCATAAATCTCACCTTCTCTCCCACTCTATTCTTAACCATTAGCCACTCTTACAGGTCCAGTTCGTGTGTGCAAGCTTTAAGCAGCATTCATGCTCTCCTCATTCCCTTACACTCCTACGACCCTCCGGATGTCCGCGAAACCGCGCCCATGGGTGCCATTGAAGTATAAGGGGCGCGTCAAAGTCACACCCCTACCCATGGACTGATAACTTACTTGACACAATATCATACTTGCTGCCAATCCCAAAGTTACTCCAATTACTTCGGTTCCCGAGCCACGTCTTCGCTTTTCGAAGAACCGAAAGGAATGTCAAGCAACTGGGACTCGAACTCATGGAACAAGAGGCCCGGAAAGGGGAGGACAGCTATTCCAGGGTCACGGACGACAGGCTACTGTGGAATTGTGTCAACCGATATATGAAAAAGGATGGGGAGGCCAAAGTCAGAATGATGGGGACAACCTTCTTTCTTGTGCACACAGCAGGCTTTCCGAAAGAAGTGAGCCTGTGATGCGTGTTCACGGTCCGCATGCTAAGAATTTGACAATACATTATGCATATCTAGATTTGGGAGACCACCTACTAGCTGTTGTAGGGTCATGGGAGTCCGTGCAACATGGGGACTCTGCTCTGCTAAACAGACAGAATCTCAGTGGTAGTTTGTACGAGAACGCCTCTCAAACCCGCTTGCTTGAAATTCATTGACGTCAATATTATGGATTGGACTGACAGTGCAAGAGATATTGCAAGATCTCTCATCAATGACATCAATGATGGAGCAAGTCTCCAAGGAGCGTGTTTGCCGCAGACCATCAAATCCAATCAGCTGAGTTCGGAAAATAAAAGTCATTCGGATTAATTACTAGGTACCGTTGGTTGTACAGTCGGACATCGTGTATGGGTCATGCACGACCTTGTTATTCACCTGGGCAGCATAGTCTAAGTAAAGCTTCTTTTGTAATCGTTTTATATAAGCGCTAGTTGTAAACTTGTAATAATAGACTGGGCCCTTTTTGGACTTGCGTAGCTATAGGCCCAGAGCACTAGTACTGGCAGGCTGAGCTGATCAAGCTCTACTCTACTCCCCGACGACTACTGAATTCATGACGCTTACGGAAAACGACAATTCTTCCTCATGTATCAAAGGAAAAGGAAAGGCCAAGCATCCTGAACCTTCAGAGCGAACACCTCTACTACTACATCACAGTGATGTTGCTCCGAGTCCCAGTCAACCACGTGTTGTACAGGATGAAGACGTCGACCTCGAAAGTAGCTCGGACGCTCGGCGAAGGCTTTTGTCCAAGCTTACATTTGTTTTCCTGGTATCTCTGTCTTCCTGCATCTTAATATTTTTGCTGCTTGCTCTGTTGGCATACTCTTATGCCGCCAGGTTATCGGACGTGTCCCCAGAAGACATCTTAGAGAATGCGCTGGTGATACAAGGGCCGTATCGGGTGAGCGTACTCGATGTTACAGCAGAGGGCGGGACATGGATACAAGTACGAGCAAGAGCTGGGATTAATGCGGGATCAATCATGGGAGTCGATACCGATGGTGACGAGGGAACATTCTACGACATGTGGAAGTCGTTTGGTCGATGGGGCGTCAAGATTCTAGATAGAGTCACAGTGAATATGTCCACCACTCAAATCTTTTCTCAGCGACAAGCACTTTTAGCCACGCTCGATTCCCCACCATTTGAACTTCCTCTCACCGCCAACCCCCCATATGACGATTCGTGGTTATCCCCGTTGTCTTTAACTCTTTTTGTCGTCCCCACGCAGAACGCGTCCGATATAAACCACTTCGTGCACGACTCCTGGCATTTGGGTGCTGCGTCTGTACATGCCTCTATTCCTAGCGCGATCATCTCTGGGGGCTCGATGGACAAAGGCGGTTGGAGGCAAATGCTAAAGCTCCAGAGATCAAGTATACAAACTCAGTTATCCATGAAACGTGAGTCTTTATTATCCGTTAACTTGTTTAGAGTGCTACAGCAATACTGGCAGTTCCACCAATCCCTGGCTTGCCTACCCCGGGCAAAGATGTACCCCTACCATCCATTTCGCAGCTTATCACGTTGCAGTCTTTCGGCGTGGAGTCTGAAGCTAAAGACGTAACTGTACATGCCCTTGCAACTGTCGTCAATCCCGTGCCACCTATAATAAACCTAACTGCACCCTCACTTCCGTTCATAATTTCCCTCCCCAGCGAAAATCATTCATTGGTACCGATGGTATCGGTCCACACCGATCCGTTCATGCTAACCCACCCCAACATCACGCTTACTATATCTGGAAGCGTTCTACCCCTCCCCCCTCACCATTCCGCACCCATTTCTGCTTTCATTAGTAGATTCCTCTCCCTCGAACCCAACCCTGTATCTGTCGCATGTCCACTATTCCCATCTTTTGCGCTGGACATGGACTTTCCGGCCCCCAGTTCCAAACCACAAATACTGCGCAATGTGACAATTCACGATATGAAGATCAAACCCAACTCTGCTAGCACCGGTTTTCTTGCGAGTGGTTCGGTGTTCGCTCGCATAGTACTTCCTAAAGGAATGGACCTTACACTAGATGTTACCCGCGTATTTCCTGATGTTCTGGTCTTCGACGGGGAAGCACATGAATTGCCTACACTTCTCTTACCCCAACAGAAAGACGAAGAAGAATTACCGGATCCACTTCCAGAACGCGCATTTGGCCATATTCGACCTGAAGATTGGTTGGAAGCGACGAGCGTTCAAGTCGACGCCGAAGGAGAAGGCTCCATATTCGCAGTCACCGCAGATATGGTCGATGTCCCGTTAGAGGTGCTTCCTGGTAGGCAGAAACAATTCAGTAATTTCATTAGCAAGGTATGTGTAGTACTCTTTTTTGCGCAACCTTGTTCATGCAGGATTGGATGCAGGTTGTATTTGGTACCCATGGTGCACTAGCTGGCTTGCAGGGAACTACTGATGTTGGGGTGCACATCCTCGGATTACCGTTCCGTGATCACAAGGACGCAGCCACAGGAATGGACCTTTTGGGTCTGCCCTTCCGAGGGAGCGTACGCATTGGAATGAAAGATCTGCTGGTATGACGCTCGTTTGATCTTTTCTCTGAAGGCCTACATATAATTTATTTGCCTGTATCATCATCCATCGAATCTATCCACGACCGCTAAGCCCATTTCAATATTCATTGTTGACATAGCTTTTAGTTCACTACGTTACACTGAATTTATTTTTTATAGCCTAGTGATACCACAGGGCACATATTGACCTCTAGGGATGGTGCCACCTATATATTTGTGCTTGAAGGTACACAGAACAGTCTAGTGATTGATAGTTCATATGTTCTGCTATATAAGATTGCAGTGCTCTAGGACTTCCACTGCTTGTACCATAATGTGTTGTCGGTAGACGTATACTATTGGCATGGACCCACTTTTTCGTAGTGGTTTGGATGGGATTCTCGCGTTAATGGTCTCCTGCACTAGACCTGTCTTGCATTTGTTAACCTGTACATCCATATTTTGGGGTGACCTTCATCGCCCAGGATGAGACAGAACATATCATCATACAAACTGTAGCTTTAGTTGTAATGCTTAATGATCACCCCGTGGATGACCTCTTCTTCTACGCCATCCTCTTTTCCATTCTTCAGTTTCGACTGGCCATAAGCCATCGTCCTCGCTTTCCTCCAATCTTCCATCATCGGTGCCTCACTATCTTCGCAACGTCTCTGAATTCCCACTCTCTGCAAGACCGGGCTTTCAACCATCGGCACCAATTTAATATCGTCGTTAGGCATGGCAAAGTAGAATACCCCGAGACGAGTGTAGTCCCGCTGGTCCACCACAGGCTGGACAACGCGATGGATCGTACCTTTGTAGTACCCGCCAGTAAGGAAATCCATTGCATCGCCTACGTTAACCACCTAGTATAGACTGCTCGTCATGTCATGGATTGGGACATAGGATGCGATTACTCACGAGTGCATTTTCCATGTGACGGATCCAACGCCATTTGCCTTCACGGGTCTGAATTTGCAGTGCGGCGACAGGCTGACTCCATAAAATCGTAATGCTTCCGAAATCTTGTGGTAACACTGTGAGCACAGTCTCTTCGCGATCAAATTACTGACCCGTGTGACCCTTCAGCCAAACGTTCTTTGTTTTGGCTTCTTCTTCCTCTGTTCGTGTGTAGCTACGCCACATAAGCCTGCGAAGCGTAGATATACAAGGAAGTACTTGCTACTTGATGAACCTAACTGATCGATAAGTCAACAATGGCACAAAATGTTTGAAATGTATATATTCACCAGCTGTCTCGCCGACGGCGTCAAAGACATGTTTGTTCAACAGTGTATCTTCTGGTAGCTCAAGGCTGCGGGCAATAAGCCTGAGAAAAAATATTTTATCAGCGAGTCTTCCTGAGCACACCAGTATATGTGTTTACCTCAGGATAGGATTCAACACGTTGAAATAGTTGTGTTTGCTAAACTCCTGTATCTCAGGGAGGAGAGGGACGAGGGCTTCTGGGTGCTTTCGCTTGGTCACATCGCGATTGACTAGAATAATGTGAGGTGAGTCTATAAAAAATCAATGCGCGCTGACTGCAGTATTGTTCAAGCTGGTCGCGTACTCGACCATCGACATCCTATTGTCAATTAATTTAAGAAAATAAAATATTCCTCTGTTGTGCAATGCACAACTGCTACTTACCGCATACTGCACTGATGTATATCCTTGGAGCATTCCATTTTGCTTTCTTGTCGAAGCATAAAGTTGCTTCTCGCCATCAGTGACAGCCGAGAAGGGCACGTCTGCAATGTCAAACATGCGAGCTGTCTGAGACGAGATGTGATCAACAATATTCTATGTGACGTGAGAAAATTGTCTTGCTTGAGTTTGTGAATATCCATGGTTCACGACATAGAAGAACCCGAAGTTCAGGAGAGCCTCCCTTAATTCAATTGCGAGCGCGGCGAAACCCTCTTCGGAGCTGGCTTTCGAAATGTCGATGGTCGCAAGGTCGGCATACTCCACTGTCGATGCGCACATCCAAGTCAGTGTTCTGCATTAAACACAAGACCTTGCACAGACAATTTTCCTTCGTAGGAGGTGCGGCAATGTAGTGCGGCACGTAGGGCAAGGTAATGCTGGACATTGCAATCAAGAACGCTAAGAGGTGACAGATCTAACAAGATTAACCATGGGACCTGTCCTTATATAATTAGGCCTTGGAGCCTTGTTCAAGTTAGCCTGATTTATAAAAAGATGGTGATATGATGGCATGGTCACGCACTAGGCTACTCACAAAAAAAAAGTAGTCGCCGCACGGTGACAATAGACAGGGGGTCCCCAAAAGTTGGCTCCATTGCCAGTGCATCAGTGACATACCACTTGAAATATTCCAAGGAGCCTTGACAGGTAGCTACAGGTAGGCGTTCTGAAAACCTGCCTTAAAATATGATTTGGACCTCTACATAGGACGGGAGTGCTAGGGCCAAGGTCCAAGACGCAGGACGTCCAAGGTCATGAAGAACTTGAAATTCGTGAGATGCTGGAAGCCGTGAACTGTATAACCCTTCTTCCGAGTCGGAAGACAACCTAATACTATTTGGAATAGCCTAGATCCGGTCTTCAACATGATTATCGATGCAAGGCCATCAAAACCTGATCTGAGTCCTTTAGGGTGCGATACATTGATTGTGCGGCCTTCGCATCGTGACGAAAATCAAGGACATGCAGCAATGCTCTGCATAATAAATATTTAAATTTCTCACCAGGGTTCTCCCTCTGTATCCTTCTGCCGACTCGGAGTTGGTGAGTAACGATGCTACGTATAGCGTCCATCTTGATTCAGCCTATATGTAATATTATCGTTCAGGTAGATAGAAGAGCTAGATCATGCCCAGTCACGCGTAGCCACGTCGAATCTCGATCAACTACCAGTGAAATCGTACGTATCACTTGATGGATATGATACCATAGGAACTCTTTCCTGGGAGGAAATCGGAATCAAAAAAAATTGCGCGTGGGCCAGCGCGATGGGACGTACCAACAGAGACCAACGGTAGCAGAGTGTTACAAATTACACCCACAACCATGACCTCCTTTGATCGGGTCTGCGAGGCAGCGGCAATAAGTAGGCTGAGTCTAGAACAGGATGTAGCAAAGTAGCACTGCCGAGCGCTGATGCGCTGATGACTGTGCCGCAGTGCGTGAACAAGTGTCAAGGCGCAACCTCGGCCCGTGTCCTCTCATCTATTACATAATGCGGTCTTATCCCTTTTCGGTTCGGAAACGGCCGAAAAGGAGAGTGGCTTTAGAGGTTCTGGATGTGCTAAAGGTTGGGGGGGTCTGAAGCTTCCTACCTCCACTAGCCCTCCCCCAACCGTAAACTACCCTGCCAGCCGGTCATCGAATACGGTTGCAGTCGTGCAACAGAACCTGTACTCCCACTAGGTATATAGGCTCAGTAGTATATCCTAAACAGAACGAGAAAGTCGGCGCGGTTGGGGTAGCGCGGTAGCCCCCTGACGAGAACTTTCGCAGACTTGTCCTAGGAGACGGGTGCTAAGAACGCGGTCTGCCTCGCGACGCTCTGCTGGACCTTCTAGCTTGGACTTCGCTTATTCAAGCCAGTCGCTATCGTTATCGTTATCGCTCGCGCGCCGCACGTTCCATAGAAAAGTAGAATATTTGTTCTTTAAACATGTATTACCTCTATTTACATAAGAAAGATACATCGCCGTACGCGACACACGCTCAAGGTTTAGCAATGGTTCCTTCAGCGAGCCTCTTCTGGAGCTTAGCCTGAACGAAAAATCAGCTCCAGTACATGTATTCATAACCACCACTTACATTCACCGCATCCATGTACTTGTCAGTGACGACCCAATGTTCTCTCTTCATGTTCTTGCCGTGGATAGCAAGAGCGAGATCCTTGGTCATGATTCCATCCTTGTCAATCGTTTCCACACATGCAGCCTCAAGATCCAAGCAAAACTTCCTGAGCTCTTCATTGTCATCCAGCTTAGCACGGTGGAGAAGTCCACGGGTCCATGCAAAGATCGATGCCACTGGATTGGTCGACGTCTCGTTGCCCTTCTGGAACTCGCGGTAGTGTCGGGTGACGGTACCGTGGGCAGCCTCACTCTCAACAACCTGGCCATCAGGGGTGATCAACTCTGAGGTCATCATGCCCAAGGAACCGAAGCCCTGAGCGAGGATGTCACTCTGTACGTCACCATCGTAGTTCTTGCATGCCCATACGAAACCACCGGAGGACTTAATCGCTTGTGCAACCATATCGTCGATAAGGCGGTGCTCGTAGTATATACCGACCTTCTCAAAAGCGTCCTTGTACTGCGATTCATAAATCTCTTGGAAGATGTCCTTGAAGCGGCCATCATACTTCTTCAAGATGGTGTTTTTTGTTGACATGAACTAAACACAGTAATGTTAATATGGTGTGTGCGGGTCGGGTAAATTCGGACACACCAAGGGCATCTTCTTGAGGAGAGCCATCTTAAATGATGAATGTGCAAACCCGATTATTGACTAAGAACGGGTATAGTCAATGGTCGCATCAGGGCAAGAACTGCTGGATTTACTTCATCAGTGTTGTACATGCTCATGGCGACACCCTTTCCCTTGAAGTCATATACGTCCATGACAGTCTTGGCGCCTCCATCAGCAGGGGTGTATACAAGCTGGAGTTTCCCCGGTCCCGGTGCGACGAAGTCCGTGGAACGGTACTAAACCCACATGAACACGTACACCATTTTACGTTCGAGAATCTCATACCTGGTCACCGACTACATCATTGTCAGGCTTAGCAATCACGAGATAATGAACGGAATAACGAACATGCATGACGGCCAATCACGATTGGCTTCACCCATCCTGGAATTGGCTTGGGGATACGATCCAATATAATGGGCTCACGGAACACAGTTCCGCCAAGGATGTTACGGATCTATGCCGTCTGTTGAGAAGTTGGCGATGATTGCTCGTCAGATACAACACTCACCGTGCCGTTCGGGCTCCTCCACATCTCCTTGAGCTTGAACTCCTCCACACGAGCCTCGTCAGGCGTGATTGTTGCACACTTGATGCCGACCTTGTGCTCGAGAATGGCATTGGCGGCTTCCACGGTTACATTGTCGTTGGTCTTTCACCACATGAATATGCAAATTAAAGTGAATTGATGGAATGGGAGCGTACCTGGTCACGGTACTCGAGGCCAAGGTCGTAGTACTTGATGTCCAGTTGCAAATAAGGAAGGATTAGCTTGAAGTAACAATCACATTTGAGTTAAAGTGTAACGGAAGATTTCAAACAACGCGCACCTCTTCCCGGATCTTTTTCCAAATAATCCTCGTCATTTCATCTCCATCAAGCTCCACGACGGGTTTCGCTACCACAATCTTCTTCCCATATTCTGTTAGAACCGGATCAGCGCATGGTTTCGATAGAAGGGCGTTGCAGAAACAGCACGTCTACTGCAAAGGCATAGCTCGAGGCTGAAGCCACCCTATACCAGATGCATGCAAATTACTCACGTAAGCTCATCGAATTCGCAAAGCCTCGTGCCAGCGGTCTGCTCTGCGGACCCAGCGAGCGTCTAATAGCAGTCAAGAGCGTAGCTCCTTGCACTGGCATGGTTAGTTAGCAAAACGAAGAAAAACGCTGGTATGTGGCAGAATCAAGACAGATGTTAATTATTGATCGCCTTTTGTAAGCGTGGGCTTGGAAGGTACAAATGAAGCACACGGCGTGCGCGTGGGAGGTCGTGAGCACACTAACAACGAGCCAGCGGCTGCTGGGGAAACCTTACCTTGACTTAGAGTAGAAGTTCAAGCAAATGCTCTTGCTTGAGCTGGCCCGGCTGCCAGTGGGTATGGCATATGGAATGACGGCGCCCCGTCACGGCAGATTTAGGAGCATGTGCCAGCGCATGCTCCGAGTGCTGCCAAATGATAATCAGCTGCTCTTGGACGACGCAGTAGAGGAATTTGCAGGTATGGTATACTTAAGGACGGCCGAAGACCGTGTTAGGTACTTAATTATATACTGAACCTGCCGTAGGACTTAAGCTTAATCGCTTGCAACAGAAGTGGTGCGATATCTTAGGAAATCTTCCCAAGCACATCATATCATAAATCCATTCAAAATCAAATGTGTATCCGACTCCATTCACGAGTTTTCCGGGATAAGCTCCACAATGCGCTCGACGAGACTCCTCATCACCTCTGCCTTTTGTCTCCCGATCTCCAGGACTTCTTCGTGCGATGCAATCCCCACAGGAGGAAGCTCGATGCGCTGACCAGAAAGCTACAGAGATACCATCAACGGAGCGATTAGTCTCGCAGTGTTTATTCTACATGGTTACGTACCTCAGCTTCAACCTCTGCCTTGATACTCCTGTAGGTATCAGGTATGACCACCATGTTAGTAGCGAGGCTCAGCACCATGACCTCGAGCTTCTCTTCTCGCGCAGCCACTACTTCGGGTATGGTGCTCATACCAACTACGTGCGCACCTGCATTGCGCAAGAAACGGCCCTCAGCGGGGGTTTCATATGCGGGACCTGCCACCCAGGCATACGTCCCTTCAGCTAATGCAGAGGAGTCAAAATTAAGATAGTGGGAGGCAAGGAAGGCAAGGCGTCGTAGACGAGGGGAGTATGCGTCACCCAGAGGAATAAAACGGGCATATTCCGGGGATATGAGGGGTCCGAACGAGGGGTTCATCCCAGTTAGGTTTGGGAGGGCGAAGTGATCACGGATCACGACGACTGCGACATTGTTCAGCATCGGGCTTGATATGGATGAAAGATCGTACTTGTTCCAACGGGTATCTCTGGTGTCAATGACCCAGCAGCGTTTGTTACTGTATTGGATCAGACATATAAGTTGTCCTGTGAGTCAAAAGTGTGCTTACTGATGACATCTTTGACGCCTAATCTCTTCATGATTCTGATACCATATGTCACGACTATTGGCTTGTGGCCCTCATACGGATGAAACTGTTATCGTTTCTGTTTCAGTAAAATCGCTGGCAAAGTGGTGTTCCACTTCACTCACTCGCCCGAGCATGGCGACAACAGGTACATTATCCTTGCCCATCAGTCCGAATGCGAGCATACTTTTTTGGCCAACAACTTAGTAGATGGTCTTTCTGAGATCAGTGATACCTGACCGTCCTTATCGGCACATACCTGTGCTCTCTCCGAAACCCTGGAGTTGTGAGTACGGAAGTTGTACCACATCCTTCAAGCTCGAGACAAGGGTGCTGAGACCAGATCCACACACGATTCCGATGCGTGGCTTCAACAAGCGAGGATCGGTAACCAAACGCGAGATGGTTTCGAGAGTTTGCGCGAATGGAAGTACTGGGGTGGCTGATGAAGACATGTCAGGGTCAGAAAGAACGGAGGTCGGAAACTGTTTTATAGAACGTGACTCGTATCATGATTTGATCTCCTGCCATGATAAGCGTCCGGAGCTTCATGCAGCCATTATTGCTATTACATTGAGATAAAGACGAACTCACTCATCGGACTGGCCAAGCTTGCCGATCATTGGCTGCAGCCGAACAACAATACAGATAATCGTTACAGTGATGGCATGTCAACAAGCCTGGGATGCCAAGCATGCTCCAAAGAAGCATGGTTTCAATTTGGTCTGCTACGCACTTCATGCTCTACGCCCAACCATGAACAAGCTCAGAAAGCCCAAGCCACCCGCCACGATATACAGCCCACCGTCAAGTACTCGATCTGACATTAATAATAATAACCAACATTTGGTCTCTGAATCTGTTCAAAGCAAACCTCCAGTATCGAGAACGATGCAGATCGCGAGTGCCTCACTTGCTGTGGAAAGAATCTCTACCGCTAAGAATACGCTGGAATATCCTAAGACGACATGGTACTCTGCACCTGCTGCTGCCAAGCCTCGCACATCCGTCGAGCAGTACTGGGCTGCGCGTGCACTGGTGGCTGAAACGGTGCTGACAACACGTGTTCAGTATCAGAAGGAAATGACAGACGTGAGGCTAGGGAAAGAAGAGAAGCAGACGGTGAGTATTTCCATTGTCTAAAAAATGTTCTCGGTGATTAATCGCGACATAGAACCAGCTTGCGGCTCTCATGCGGGCGAGCGAAGAACGGCAGAGCAGGCTCGAAAAGTTCGTCGTGCGTTACATTAACTTGCTTGTGTTCTCATTCGCAAGCTCACTTTATTCATTCAGGTAGCCCTTTTAGCATGTTTTGTACTTCTCTTCCTTGCGTTACTTTATATACTGCTGCGCGATTCCCCGAAATCGAAAGGTGCCTCGCACTTTACGATACCGATCCTCTCCCCGTTTACTTCAGTGGTAAGCTTCGTTAATTGCCGTTGCAAAGTTTGCATCATTTCAAACGGAACTATTACCAGGTCGAACATGAAACAGGCATAATTAGTGCGAGATTCATGTCATTCTTCATTCTCGTTGTAGGCATCTTATCATATGCCATCTTCCGACATTGGTTGTCAAAAAAAAGATAGCCCCCATGGTACAAGATTTAGGTTGTAATTCAATGCGCGGCTGGCGTAGCCATGAGAACGATAACTTCGCTTCCCAGCGCAAAGTAGGCCTAGGCTATGGGAGGGGCTATTTTTTGAAATTTACAAAGGGCACGTGTATGCGATACTGGCGGTTTGCATGCCCATTCCTCGTGCGCATCGAGTCCAAGTCGACTTCGAGACGCTGAGCACGCATAGGAATCCAAGTCGACTTTAACAGAGCACGAATAACTACTACTATAGCTAGTATAGTACTTACTTAATGGAGGATGACTGAAAAATTAAATGATGAACCGAGCCAGTGACTCGGTTTGGATCGTGGAGTTATGGGTCGTGGGAAAGGTGTCGTTCACAGGATGGTGCAACTTTGTACCAAAACGTTACACCTTTGCTCAGTCTTCTTTACGCACCGCTCCTTTTCTCTGTCCTGACCACGGCACTCTCAGTCCTGTTGGCCTGTTAACACAGGACACAGAGGTCAAGATGTATCCTCAGTCTGCCTCGCCGACAGCAGATCACGCAGATCCTTTCACTTCTTCAGCGGGCGGTCCTCGCAGATACGTTTACAGCGACAACGACTCTGACAATGTCGACCCTTACGGTCGTAGAGACACTTATGCTTCAGACAGCAGCAACAATGGACTCAACGACACAGAGCGATACTATGATCACAACGGTAACTACGACCCATACGGTTTGTGGAGCACCCTGCTGTGCTATTTTCATACTCACACTTGTGTGATTTTCAAGCACAACCTGACACAGACTCGGATGTCGACATCTATGGCCAGCGGTATCCCCCAGCATCCTCAGAATCCCTAGGACCTTCAAGAATGGGCGTGTCGGATTCAAACGCTACAACATGGGCCGAATACGCAGGACCACAAGGCGCCCGTGATGCATATCCCGCCTGGTCAGCCGAGCGTCAGATCCCACTCTCCAAGGAGGAAATAGAAGACATTTTCCTGGACTTGACCCAGAAATTCGGGTTCCAACGAGATTCCATGCGGAACATGGTAACCTTTATTTTATTTAAAATTGTTGTGGATGTTGACAACCAATCTAGTTTGACTTTTTGATGCAACTGCTGGACAGTCGAGCATCCCGTATGTCGCCCAATCAGGCACTCCTCACACTGCATGCGGATTACATCGGTGGTGAGCATGCGAATTACCGTAAATGGTATTTTGCAGCTCAGCTCGACCTCGATGACGCCGTGGGCCACGTTCAAAATCCTGGTCTTCAGCGCCTTAACCGCAGGGCCGGCGCTCGCTCGTCCAATGAGAAATCGCTCGCAACCGCTATGGAGCGTTGGCGCCAGGCCATGAACAACATGAGCCAATATGATCGCCTCCGCCAGATCGCGCTATACCTTCTTTGTTGGGGTGAGGCTGCCCAAGTGCGCTTTGTTCCCGAGTGTCTGTGCTTCATCTTCAAGTGCGCGGACGACTATTATCGTTCGCCTGAATGCCAGAACAGAGTGGATCCTGTGCCTGAAGGTTTATATTTGAAATCTGTCATAAAGCCCTTGTACCGCTTTATTCGGGACCAAGGTTATGAGGTAGTCGACGGGCGATTTGTGAGGCGGGAGCGAGACCATGCAGATATCATTGGTTATGATGATGTCAACCAGCTCTTCTGGTATCCAGAAGGTATTGCTCGGATCATACTTACCGACAAGGTACGCTGCTTTACTACTCACAACTATATGCTCAACCGATTTTGCAATTCAGACGAGACTTGTGGACCTTCCACCTCCCCACAGATTTATGAAGTTCCACAGCATTGACTGGAATCGTGCGTTCTTCAAAACCTACTATGAAAAACGTTCTTTTGGACATCTCCTGGTCAACTTCAACCGCATTTGGGTCATTCACGTCTCTCTCTACTGGTTCTATACTGCATACAACTCCCCCAAAGTATACCAGATCTCACTTCCTTTGAATAAAGTCTACAACTCCCCGGCATTGGCATGGTCTGTCACCGCACTCGGAGGTGCAGTTGCGACAATCATTATGATTGCAGCGACGCTCGCTGAGTTTTCGTATATCCCCACTACCTGGAATAATACTTCTCACCTCTCCCGCCGCTTGCTATTTTTGTTCATCACCCTCGCGCTGACATGCGGCCCAACCTTCTACATTGCCATTGCAGAAAATAGCTCTGGTGGGACCACGAGTTCACTCGCCCTCATTCTCGGTATCGTCCAGTTCTTCATCTCGGTTGTTGCTACACTCCTGTTCGCGACTATGCCGTCTGGACGCATGTTTGGGGACAGAGTCGCTGGAAAGTCGCGGAAATACCTCGCCAGTCAAACGTTCACCGCTTCGTATCCTGGGTTGCACGCGAAAGCGCGCTTGGGCTCAATCGCGCTCTGGGCTCTTGTTTTCAGTTGCAAAGCCACAGAATCTTATTTCTTCCTCACGCTTTCTTTCCGTGATCCCATTGCAGTGATGGTAGGGATGAAGATTCAGGGTTGTACTGACAGGTACTTTGGCTCCAGTCTATGCACCAACCAAGCTGCGTACACGCTGGCCATCATGTACGTGATGGACTTAGTGCTGTTTTTCCTCGATACGTTCCTTTGGTACATCATTTGGAATACGGTGTTCAGTATCGCGCGGTCATTCATACTTGGCTTGTCGATATGGACGCCATGGAAGGATATCTACACTAGGCTACCAAAACGGATCTATGCGAAGCTACTTGCGACGAGGGATATGGAGGTCAAGTATAAACCGAAGGTCAGTTTCCGCAATCGTTACCTGAATGCACCTTAACGATGTTTTCATATAGGTGTTGGTTTCGCAGATTTGGAACGCAATTATCATTTCCATGTACCGCGAGCACCTGCTTTCTATTGAGCACGTGCAGAAGCTGTTGTACCACCAGGTTGACTCGGGGCACGATGGTAAACGCAGTCTCCGTGCGCCGCCGTTCTTCATCTCTCAGAGCGATAAGGGTTTCAAGGGCGAGTTCTTCCCTCCGGGCAGTGAGGCCGAGCGCCGCATCTCCTTCTTTGCGCAGTCGCTCACGACTGCTGTTCCGGAGCCGCTTCCTGTAGATGCTATGCCCGCATTCACGGTCTTGACGCCACATTACAGTGAGAAGGTCCGTGCTTCGTTTATCTTATCCGAAGTTGTCCCGACCAAACATTTTTTTAGATTCTCTTGTCGTTGAGGGAGATTATCCGCGAAGAAGATCAGAATACCCGTGTCACTCTGCTCGAATACCTGAAGCAGCTCCACCCCGTTGAATGGGACAACTTCGTCAAGGATACCAAGATTTTGGCTGAGGAATCTGCCATGTTCAACGGCACGAGTCCTTTCGGCACAGATGAGAAGGGCCAGTCAAAGATGGATGATCTGCCGTTCTACTGCATTGGCTTCAAGAGCGCTGCCCCCGAATTTACCCTGCGAACCCGTATTTGGGCTTCCCTGCGTGCGCAGACGCTTTACCGCACAGTCTCCGGTTTCATGAACTACGCGAAGGCGATCAAATTGCTCTACCGCGTGGAAAACCCTGAGGTCGTGCAGCAGTTTGGCGGCAACACGGACAAACTAGAACGCGAGCTGGAACGCATGGCCCGGCGCAAGTTCAAGTTCGTCGTCTCGATGCAGCGGTATTCCAAATTCAACAAGGAGGAGCACGAGAACGCTGAGTTCTTGCTGCGTGCATACCCAGATCTTCAGATTGCGTATCTGGATGAGGAGCCACCACGCAAGGAGGGTGGCGAATCGCGGTTGTTTTCTGCGCTTATCGATGGTCACTCTGAATTCATTCCTGAGACTGGCCGTCGTCGCCCCAACTTCCGCATTGAACTCCCCGGTAATCCTATTCTGGGTGACGGCAAGTCGGACAACCAGAATCATGCGATCGTCTTCTATCGTGGCGAATATCTGCAACTCATTGATGCTAACCAGGATAACTATCTGGAAGAATGTCTTAAGATCCGCAACATCTTGGGCGAATTTGAGGAGTACTCGGTGTCAACTCAGAGCCCGTACGCACAATATGGTCACAAAGAGTTCAAGACAAGCCCTGTAGCCATTGTCGGCGCTCGCGAGTACATCTTCTCGGAGAACATCGGTATTCTTGGTGATCTCGCCGCCGGCAAGGAGCAGACGTTCGGTACTCTGTCTGCTCGTGCTTGGGCATGGATAGGTGGAAAGCTTCACTATGGCCATCCTGATTTCCTGAACGCGCTCTACATGAACACTCGTGGTGGCGTGTCGAAGGCACAGAAGGGTTTGCACCTTAACGAGGATATCTATGCTGGCATGAACGCTTTTGGTCGCGGTGGTCGTATCAAGCACACCGAGTACTATCAGTGTGGTAAAGGTCGTGACCTTGGCTTCGGTACCATCCTCAACTTCCAGACGAAGATCGGTACTGGCATGGGAGAGCAGATGCTCAGTCGGGAGTACTATTACCTGGGCACGCAACTGCCTATCGACCGTTTCCTCACCTTTTACTACGGCCATCCTGGTTTCCACATCAACAATATGTTGGTCATCTTGGCCGTCCAGTGCTTCATTGTGACAAGTATGTCTTCTCTTACTACTAAGTGCGAGTTATAATTGATTGTGTTATAGTGGTGTTCTTGGGAACGTTGAACTCTTCTATCTCGGTGTGTCAGTATTCTTCCAGTGGCACTATTCTGCCTGGTATGGATGGCTGCTACAACTTGACACCCGTATTCGACTGGATTCACCGTTGCATCATCAGTATCTTCTTGGTGTTCATGATTGCCTTCCTGCCGCTGTTCATTCAGGGTATGCATGATTCGTTTATCTTCAGTGGGGTGCGGTTTTGACACTTTTACAGAACTGGTGGAACGTGGAACTGGTCGTGCCATTATTCGTCTTGGAAAGCAGTTCATGTCCCTCTCGCCTGTCTTTGAGGTATTCTCTACTCAGATCTACACGCATTCCATCATCAGCAACCTTACCTTTGGTGGTGCCCGATATATCGCGACAGGACGTGGATTTGCAACTACCCGTATCTCGTTCAGCATTCTATTCTCTCGTTTCGCCGGACCGAGCATTTACCTCGGCATGAGGACCTTGATCAGTCTTCTCTATGTCACTATGGCACTTTGGACGCCTTATCTGATTTACTTCTGGATCTCAATTCTTGCCCTTTGCGTTGCTCCTTTCTTGTTCAACCCGCATCAGTTCGCGTTCGCGGACTTTGTGATTGACTATCGGTCAATTGATTCTTTTGTTTTGTTTGCCTGCTTTGCTGATGAATGCGTTGTAGGGAATTCTTGAGATGGATGTCTCGGGGAAATTCGCGCTCGCATAACAACTCTTGGATCGGTTACTGTCGTCTGTCGCGGACTATGATTACGGGATACAAGAAGAAGAAGCTTGGTCTCCCTTCAGATAAAATGTCGGGTGATGTTCCACGCGCCGGTTGGAGAGCGGTCATCTTTTCCGAGGTCGTCTTCCCTATTGTGATGGCGGTGCTATTTACCATTGCCTATATCTTCGTCAAGTCCTTCCCCGATTCGACTGGCAATATTCCACCAAATCCTCTGATCCGAATCGCGATCATCGCCCTCGGTCCGATCGTATGGAATGCTGCAGTCCTCCTTATGCAGTTCATCATCTCCATCTTCCTTGGTCCGATGATGGACCCCACGTTCCCGAGATTTGGATCCATCATGGCATCTACCGCTCACGTCCTTGGTGTCATTGGTATGTTGGGCTTTTTTGAGTTTTTGGTAAGCGTTGTAGTATATCTACTATCTGGCAGTTCTGACATAGTCCGGTTTGACATTGAAGTGGTTCCTTGAGACATGGAATGCATCCCACGCAGTCCTTGGCATTATCGCAGTCATCGCTATTCAGCGTGCAGTTCACAAGGTTCTCATTGCTGTGTTCCTATCGCGTGAGTTCAAGCACGACGAGACGAATCGTGCGTGGTGGACGGGACGCTGGTATGGACGTGGTCTTGGCGCTCATGTCATGTCACAACCCGCCCGTGAATTCATTGTCAAGATCATCGAGCTATCGCTGTGGAGCTCTGACCTTCTCATCGGTCACTTCCTATTGTTCATGTTGACCCCACCCATTCTTTTCCCATACGCGGATCGTTTGCATGCGATGCTGCTTTGTGAGTTGTCTAACCCAACATTCTTCGTGTATTACTGATATCGCTACAGTCTGGTTGCGTCCCTCCAAGCAGATTCGCGCTCCCCTCTATTCTTTGAAACAGAAAAAACAACGCCGTTGGATAGTGAGTGTTTTCAAGTGTTAGCAGACGAGCAAAGGATGCTCATGCATGACCCCAGATCATCAAATATGGCACTGTTTATGTGATCGTCATCATCATATTTACAGCACTCATTGTCCTTCGTGAGTCGTTATTGCTACTTATCTGTTTCTTGTTTATTAATACTCTCCCTAGCCGCCGCCTTTCGCAACAGAATTCATTTCAACTGCACTCTATGCAATAATTTGTAATGAATTCATCTATCATCTATAACTCGCATTCTTTAGATTATCCACCATTACTTGTAGTCTTTTTCTGATCCTGTCGCGCGCTGGACATTCACATGAACGTTTGCCAATATGTCTAGTTTTGATGACGTTGTCAACCCGCCTCGTACTGCATGGACACAATTGGTGTAATGTACTACGGATACGAACTTTGATAAATCACATATTTGCGTTACATATACTTATGACGAAGGAAATCTTATACTTTTTTGCAATGCTGGCAATTTTGAATCGTTTCATGGAGACGAGTCGTATTGGACGTTGTCTAGGGACCGTAGGAAACGTGTCAGGCTGCGACATTCGATCGAGGACTATACTTCATATATATCATCATGCTCCTATACCATTTCCACAGATCTTGACAGTGGACGTATCATGTTAAATGAGAAATTTGGTGTTTTTGGATCCACGAATTCCAGACTTTTACACTGTCATTCAACCGAGAGTACTCTTCCCAACTGTGTCGTTGCCATACACTAAGCCACACAAAACCTGGTCGAGTAAGGAGCTGTGAAGGTGAAATGCCAACGGGATGTTAATAATGTGTGAAAATGAATCCGCATTTATAATACACCTAGAGTGGCCTATCCGCGTGCATCTGGTATACTTTGTTGAAGAAGCCCGCAATTAGCAGATCCAAAGTGACAGCTACAACATCCGTGCGATTAGCCATGAACTAAAATTACAGTAGTAGATGCACCTGCTGAGCACTATCACCGATAACGGCCGGTGGTGTCACGTGTGAGGTCTGTAGGTGTTGGTTTCCCAAGCCTCCATCCCAATGACCCCATGGCAGATCGCTGACTGGCGTTCCAACGAGATGAACAGGTGTCACATTTCAAGATGATTGTAGGTGTGGGTTTGCCAACCCCCCATCGCTTCCGTCAGAAGTGTGATCAGTCCCGCTTGGTTTGTATGGGTGACAGGATATCATGTCTGGATGCGGCTCGAGTACTGCAACTGCATTTGATGGATCTGCTCAGTTGTTGCCTAGAGATATACGGAGATGAAGCAGGGGCAGGAAACCATGGATGGTCGACGCCATGATAGTCGATAAGGAGACTTGTGAAACTTTGAAAGGCGGAACTGAGGTCAGTGAAAAGTAACCGATATAATAGTATGAACGTACTGTTTGCAACTGAGTGAGGGAAAACGAAGGGAACATTGAAGAACTGAGGAGTCAGCATCTGCGATCCTGCGATGCATGCCTTGTAGACAAGAGAGAACTGTAGGCGACACATCAGAATGTGTGTCCGTCCGCAGGTCGTACTATGCGTTTAGGTAATTGCATGTATCATCTCCTATGGGGTTTTTCCAAACGGAAAACAAGCAGGAATGTATAAAAAAACATTGATGCAGAAGTTCTGAAAATCACCTGTGATCATACTCGAGTAACTCCTGCGTTTTAGAATGGCCATTGTCCGATATAGTAGCGCAACTGATGAGGTCGGCAAGGATTTCTTACCACGGAGAATGTGTGTTGACGGCATGAGAGGACACCGTTTGATTCGATGACAATGAATTGGTGGGGCGACTTCCGACTCGGAGGCTATCAGCTGTTAGAACGGCAGTGTTTGATACACTGGAAGTAATTTACGCGATTTGTAGATCTGTGGGCTCGACAACGCTGGCACGTGGGTCCCCGCCATGTTGCTGGTTCCATGGGAGTGCGCCAAAGCGCCGGGTAAAATAGAGGAGTTTGACAATGACGCCACGAGCAGCTACTACCTACAACTTGTTAGAATCGGGGTAGTCGATGGATCATGCGATTCATCCATACCTCTGTATTCAGTTCATTTCACTGTGCACGAGCAGGGTAGGAGGTACTGGTCCAAGTTGGGGTAACGTCACGCAAATGGGAATTGCGTCTCCATTTAGTGTCCGCCCAAGATCGTCGGAATTGTAGGGGAACTTCAGGAGTGACATTTACTGGATGAACATCGTACACGCTAACGCCGTGCAGTGTTATCGAAGTTTACATCTGTTTCAAGCACAACCCTTCTTATCCACCTACCTTTCATTGGCTCAGACTCAGGGTCAGGCTCCCTGCACACTATGCTCAAGTCAGCACCCCGAACGACTCTATCATACATCAACGTACCCATCCATTTCACTGCTGGCCAATTCCGCGGAGGATGCGTGCGTGCTGAGCTCGTCGAGATACAAAAAGCAGACCTTGGGCGAAAGTGATATCGGTGCCTTCTTCACTCGTTTCCATGTGGCTGACCATCATCATGCATGCAGGTATGCTCGCGTAGACAGACGCCCTCTCGACCCACCACCAGTGGTTCAACTCAGACTGTATCACATACACAATGAGGGTACTGAACATGAATCCGAACGAGAAGTTCAAGACTACGAGTGAGTTGTTACCACCCAGGGTTCCCCAATCCTGCTTCAATATCTATTATAGCAACATACAATGTCTTGGATTACTATGCAACGTCGACTTGTTTCCAGTGCCCACTCAACCCGATGACTCATCGGAGTCAGGCTCCCTGCCCCGTCTCCCGCGCCAACTTTCGCCAGTAGTGCAACCCATTCACCCCTCCAACAACTACCCACTACCTTCGATCTTGTCCACTGATCGATTTCCTCCCTCAACCAGTTCGAGTAGGATTCTCGTGTCAGATGCTAAGCTTCCCCTCCCTCCTAATGTCCATCCCGATTCATTCCAAATTTCCGAAAACCTGAAATGCACTGCTGCACTCTCGGGTGCCACTTTCGTGCAGCCAGCTTGTATAGACTATGAAGGCAAGAAGGCTCTTGTCTTTCCATTTTCTGTACGTCTTTCATCATGGTCGAAGGCTTACTCTCACATGACACGTGCACCTATGCAGGACCTTGCGGTAAAAATTGAAGGCGACTTCTTCCTCCGCTATCGTATTTTCGATCTCTTTGCGCGCACTGCAAGTCTAGCAGATATACCAGTGCAGGCTGAGTGCCACGGCGGTCCATTCCGCATATATTCAACCAAGGAATTTCCTGGTTTACAACCTTCGACAGAGTTGTCCAAGGTAAATTGGAACCCTTTTAAAACAAATTTTGATTGAGTTTGTCGGATTTCTAGCAACTCTCCAGATATGGTGTACGACTCAATACCCGCGAGACGGAGCGCAAGCGCAAGAAAAAGGCTTCCGAAAGTAGCGCCATCCCAACTCGAGCAAGCAAACGCAAAGCCACAAGGATTCTGCGGAGCGAGAGCGAGTGTGATTGAGTTTGCTGTAATTACGGATCAGGACGACTACGTTCAACGGACTTGGCATTTTCATTTGGTTTTCTCCCGCGAAAATTTTATTATATCTTGCAGTAGCATATATGCACACACGGATGTAACATATATATACTGTTTTGCTCATGACTTGGTTGGTTCTGTTGGTGAGGTCTACTGTCTATACCGACGGAAGATCTGAGCCACTGCGGAGGCGAACTGGTGAGTCCAATCAGACGACAAGGAGAAATTAGCTCACTCTTCGCATCAGCGTCATCGTTTGACATGCCATCAAACGTTCCCTCTTCAAGTTCATAGGGGTACCAATCATCGTGACCGTATTCTTTAGCAATCCAATCATCAGTCGACATGCCAGCTTCAGCTGCTCTCGCTTCAATTTCCTGATTTATCCATTTCTCGTCCTGTTCGTCGTACCCCCATCCATCATCACAGTCGCATTCGCATGTAGTGGTGATTTCGTAATCTTGTTCGCAAACTTCAAGTTGAGATTGCCCAGCTGTGCCCCTTTCGGTGGCCCTGACAGGCACCGTCTTCGCTTCCTGCAGGGGTTCCTTTCCTCTTGGCGTTGGTTCGGCTGCGTTGGCACCTGCATCGCCATCGGATGGAGCTTTGGGAAGTAGCTCGTCTCCCACTTTGTCTGGAACATCTTTCTCGACCGACTGCAGTCGGGAGATCTGTAAATCCATATTTAAATCAATATTTTCGACCGAGAAATATTTCCTCACTTTCACTTCCAATTTTTCAGGCTGTTCCTCAGGCGTACTATTGGCCTGAGCGGGAACTGGGGTAGAATCTTCTGAACTGTAGAGGGGAATACCCCGCTTCGTACCAGCAGACCTTACCTTGTATGGCGGCTGACCAGATGAAATGCACGTTATTATGGGGTGGGTTCAAAGCAAGAGTGATATACTTACCCTCGCGGTTGTACTCTTCGAAGTCGTGCTCTTGGGCATAGTGGTCAGTGGTACTGCGTGAATGGTAGGTTTCAGTCGAGTTTCAGAATATGTCACAAGTACTGAATTGCGTCATATATACCCCTAAGAATCATCGTTATACGGAATATAGTGTAGGTATGCATATGCTACATGGGTAGTTGTCTAGATGTGCGGAATGAAAGGTATGAATGAGTAGCTATAGGATATCAATGTGAGAACACCTCGTAATGTCCCTTATATCAAATAAGACTTTGGCACTGGGGGCACACAAAAACGGGAGAGCTTTTCCTCTTCGGGGGAATAGCTGCTTCAATGTCCACCTTATCCTTCCAGTCAGTAGGTAAAGAACCGTCAAGCAAGCTGCGATAGATCAGTTGGCGGGCCGCCACGACCGCTTTCACATTCCCGACGACGCCCCCCGCTTGCACGCCTTTCACAATCTGTTGCTGAGCCGCCTTCACAAGCTCTTCCGGCAATTCCTCAAGTGGATCTGAGATCGAAGATTCAGGTCCCTTTCTCCTTTTACGGCATGGTCGTGAGCCGACTAAGTCTTCGATAGATAGCTGTTCATCTGTATCAGGCCAACTTTCGATAAACTTTCGGGCCCTGGCAGCTGCATCTAATCTTTGTGTCGGTCTTTGCAGACATTCTTGATGGTAGGCTGCACAGCAGGTTGGACGCGGGCAGAAATGCATTACTGGGTCTCGATCGGGATTGTAAGATACACCGCAGCAACAAGCAGTACGTGTAATATTCGGCTGTTGAAGGGATGAAAATTATCACTTTCACGTCGAAGGTACACTCACGAGAATTTTCCGAGCGCGGTATTCCAAGTCGAATCGACAGAAGAAATCATCAGAGTCGAACACCTCTTGGTCGATAGAACGTTCATCATATCTCATGACAGCTGCATGATCTACACGGACAGAGTTCAAATTGATAATGTAGCACGAGAAATAGGAATTTACCACAGAAACTTGCTGTAGATACATAATCATAGTAATCTGACATGATCCGTTCATATTGGCCACAGCCACTGACATCACTTTGATACTTCAGAAATTATTCACAGATGTCAATTCTCTGTGCACTCACAAAGACTTGATTACAGAGTTGACTTCCTGAGGCGACCAGTACCACTGTACGAGAACCCATACCTGCGTCATGGCTGAGCGAAGATAATACCAGAGTCAGTGGCAAGACGTACATCTTCGTCGTTTCTTGCCCTAATTTCTTTGATTCTACCAATCCAATACGCAGTTGGATGGTGTAATTTGTCCGGAAGCACCCCTTCCGGTAGGATAAATGCGCTGTTGAGGGTCAGCATTCACTACGTCTTGCTATAAAGTCAGACACGAACGTTTCCCCGATAGAAAATCGATGCTGGTTCCCCTCTTCATCAGCAACTAAAATCCAACAGTTACCACCATCAAGCTGGAAAAGAAAGCGAAGATGTCATACCTATAAACGAAGCAAAATCTGGCATTGTTTTCCATTCGCTGTCGGCGGGTATGCCGATTGTATACTTTGGTTTTGATACCTTTTTACGCGTAAAAAGTGACTTCTTCTTACGCCGAGACATGTTGAAAAGTGAAGTTAGAGACGACAGTTTAATTTTCAGCACTCAATGTCCCTTGAGGTTGTCCGAGTCACCTGTAAGACGCGAAGAAACCTGGAGAAACGCGTCTGTGGCACCATTGTCAAGTTGATGATGTAATCATTCCATGTAAAGCGATTCGGTGTTAATGCGTTGTACCCTTGCGCACAGTGGCACTTTGCACGAGTGCACTGATTTTTTTGTTCTGAGATATTGCAGACCATGGTCTTCTATTTTACATCTTGCATGATTAGGTATGTCTTCATATATGCTCAAAGAGTCACATACTGATGTCGTGTTTAGTTCGGTTGTCGTTTTTCTTTATCCTGGCTATGCATCCTACAAGACCCTTTCCCAGAGACCAGCCTCTGAGGAGGAGTTGGAGCGATGGCTGATGTATTGGTCGGTACTGGGATGTATCGTCGGCGTCGAGTACGCTGCAGAGTGGCTTATTTCATGGTCAGTCGGTTTACATCGATGGTATCAGTGTCAAGGTCCTGATACACCCCTTGCGCGTGTAAATAGGGTACCATTCTACTACCTCGTGAAGACCATATTTCTTCTCTATCTAGCACTCCCGCAAACACGCGGCTCATCCTACCTCTACATCAACCATCTTGAACCATTCTTCCAGGCTCATGAATCCCAGATCGATGCGACGCTCGCATCTTTCAAAATTCGCATTTATGCCTTCATCCAGCAAAAGTTTCGTATTTTATGGGATGCACTCGCTGCGGCAATCGGTCAACAGCAACAGGCCCAATTTGCTCCCGCAGGCGGGGTGACAGACACCGGTGTACCCCCAACTTTGGCTGACCCTGCATCAGGGCCCGCTCGGCTTGCCATGGGGCTCTGGCACTCGTATGGCCCTACGATCCTCGCTTCTGGCACAGCACTGCTGCGTCAGGGTGCTGCGGCAGCGGGAACATCTGCTGACCAAGCCTGGAATACTCCCGCAAACACCTTCACAAGGCGTTCTGACGCAGGTCATCAGGGCTCCTTGAAAGATCGCAGGCGCGAGCTTGAAGCTGAGCTTGCGTTCATCAATTCGGCAGAGCGTCCTGCTGTCTTGACTCCTCCTGCTTCAGGCTCCATCCAGCCACCTTCCCGTGCATCTTCGGACTTTGAGTTGCGGGAGCGTGGGTCCAGCTTTGTTGGGCGATTTGAGGAAGTAGACGTCCCCAGCGATGCAGAGGGATATGACGTTGATGGTGACTCTGGTCGGGAGGGTCGTGACAGGCCTGAGGCGAGGAAAGCTGCCAGCTGGTTTGGCTGGGGAGGTGCGGCGCCAAGCAAGGGAGGAAAGTCGGATTAGTTGAAGGCTTGATCTGGGGATCTGTATCATGGTGATGATAGTTGTATTTACATTTGGACGAGATGTACATAACTCGGTACATACTCGGTAATTTCCCGATCATGGCTGTATTCTTCCATGTGCAATCTGTAACATTGTCGTATTTATTTCTCCGGTCTGCTGCAACGCGGCTGCCATGCAAGAGATGAACGTTTGAAGCACGTACATAAATCGCCGTAAAAAAAACACCAACGTGATAGACAATGTTCTAGTCCGCACCACACAATCTCAATCAGATTTGGACTGACTCTAGACCAAGGGCTCTGAGAACGTAAATTGAGTAAGTAACTTCTCCTTTTCTCCGGGTGACAGTGGAACAAGCCGAGGAAAGCATCTTGAGGTCGCTCTAAGACCTGCAGGAGGCTGGCAATGAGCCTTAAAATATATGAACACATATCGTAACTGTACAACTTCTTATCAAGCATATACTTAGATCGCAACTTGAGGCGGAATTGCCGCAGTGGCAGTGGCAGCAACAAACCGACCCTAGTAGGTCCCCGTCGCACCCTGAATGCGGATGAGCATAGTGCACAAAATACTTACATACGACGTTACACCTTTTGGACGATAGTCTCAGTATTACTATCCGGTGGCGAAAACGTGTACGGTAAGCTTATCATTTGCGCGCCATGCGGCTGACACGGAGCTGGATTCTAAAAAAGCCGACAACCTGACGTTGAAAAAAATCAAGGTGAGTGTTGCTATGTCTATGAGAAGGTTCAAAAGACAAAATGACCTTTGAATAATAGAATCGTCCTTGAAATCGCCATAGAAATGTTACGGTGGTTGCAAGTTTCAAGAACACATTACAACCAATTTCGGAGTGCATCTGTACATGATACTGTCATCCCAGCTTTGACGCATCTGGGGAGGCGCACATGTGGGAGTATCTCGGAACAAGTCTCGGAAGATAAATGTGAGAGCGGAAGCAAAATTACGTAAAACATTCCATTTGTAGTTCTAAATGAAAAGTCTTAAAGTTAGGGACGACACAATGCAAGGCCCTTTGCCTCCTTTTCCTTTCTTCCTTTGCCCAGCTCTATGCGTCTCGGTGGCCTTAGATATTCACTCAGTCTAAAGTCATGCCTCAAGCATCCCGTGGAAATGCTCGTCAGCCTGACTCCAGAGATGTCCAAAAGGCCATGGACAAGGAGCAGAAGAGAAGCCGAGGCGCTATGTCATGCGCCGAGTGTAGAAGGTGGTGCTCCATTTGTGATCAGTTTCCTCCTCTCATCTTTTGCCGCTAGACTCAAACTGAAATGTGACAAAACTATACCCTGCTCTTCATGCAGACGCAGAGGCTGCTCCGCCATCTGTCCTAATGGTATGTTCACGTGTTCATCTGCTGTAAGATGCCCTCTTATCAAGACCACGGGCGCTAGGTTCCCTCACGACTGGTCAGGGAACTCGGTAAGTCTCCTACGAGTCATGTAGGTGGCTGAAGACTTCATGTCAATGTTGTTCCTCGTTTCAGGTTCGTGCTAGCAGATACAGAAAAATTGCATCAGAAGATCGCACAAATGAGTGACAGGATTCGTCAACTTGAAGATGCACTTTCTATTTCACAAACCAGTCCTGGCGAACAGCATCCTCTTCTGCATAGAAATCTTCTCGACATCAAATCGATCATAGATTTGCATGCTGCTATAGATGAGGAAACGGCAGGCAAATCCAAGCATGAAGTCGATGATGACTCGCAATACATCGAATCTTTTGGGACGCTCGCCATACGGGACGATGGAGCTGCAACTTTCTATGGTCCATCCGCCGGGTCGGAGGTGAGCATTGCATTGGCAGCTTTCTTTACAACAGCTGATTGCATCACCATAATGTCTTTAGAGCCTGCTCATCGTATGTTATGAGGGTCCTCTCAACCATACCGCTAGGCTAATTATGTGCCACAGGGAGAGTCCGCCGTATCATCGACACCTGGTTTTAGTCCAGGAAATAGGACACAGCATACTGAACATCTGTCTCCCAGTGTCAAGCATCTGTCCAAGTCTTTCCCTCTGGCTCCAGTGTTTACTGATGAGGTTGATCTCAACTACCTCATTCAAAATCATTTACCTCCTTGGCATCGTGCTCGTCACTTGAGTGAGCTGTATCTCCAGCAAGCACCATGGTTCTTCGGAGCGGTAACAAAACGGCAACTCATGGAGGAGAACCTTCCTTTATGGTACGCAGAAGCATCAGATCTCATTCATCTGGGTTCCGTGGCGCCATCAGTAGCCTCGGGGAATGATGCTTTGAGTAAAGGTCCTCATGAACTCGCCTTGATGTTTGTGATATTCTGCTTTGGGGCACTGACGGATCACAGATTACCCCCTGCGCCAGACAACGAGGAAGCCGACATGTATTTCAAGCTTACGCGCGCTGCCCTAAACTTAGAGCCCGTACTTGACCGTCCACCATCAGTGGCAACCATTCAGACTCTGGCTTTACTCGCAATCTATCAGGGCCTTTGCAGTGGAGAAAACAGCATTGAGAGCACCTGGGGAATCTTTGGACTTGCAACAAAGTTAGCTCAGAGCGTAAGTGATATTGGTTTCCTAATTCCACTTCTTGACGCTGTGCTATATAGATTGGACTGCGTCAGTAATTCAATCATTTGTATCATCGGTCAAGTTAGCTTATTATCCACTGCCAGACCGTGATTGCGCCCGCTGGCAGCTACCTCCACAAGAGGTGCAAAAGCGCCGTGCGCTGTTCTGGGAGCTATTCATCACAGACGGGTGGCAGGTAAATCTTGTCCTTGTGATTCTGTGGGATGTTACTAATTAACTTTCACGCAGTCCTTGGCTACAGGTCGTCTTGCTACGTTTTATCTGCCTTTTGTAGACTGTGAACTACCTAACGATCCCGATTCCACGGTGGACGAAGACGGAACTGTTTTACAAAGCTGTAGGTCCTACTTTCTTCTCTTTCGTGTGTTGATCTCAACGATAATAACCTCAGTCCCGGCATGGAAGGCTCGCTTTGGTTTCCATTGCATATCCGCAATCATCCAACATGCACAAACGGCTAAGGTACCAAAGTATTCTGTTGTCATCGAGCTGGATCGCACGATTCGCGACATGGAGCTTCCAAAATACGCCCAGCGACCTCCCAGAGAGGGCGCTGAACTTGGAGAAGCGATGAAGCATTACATGCCCCGGAACTACCGACACCTGAGTAAGCGATTCCAGCAGTCTAACATCGAAGCAATTTTCAAGTTCGTTGCAGCTCTGCTATATCTTCATCGATGCTTTTTTGCGGAAGCTGTATCAAACAACCCCACAGACCCCATGAGCAGCCCATTCGCTCCATCGTTCCTTGCAGGGTACCGTAGTGCCTGTGAACTGATTAACGGTCTTCGCACGCAGTTCGACTTGTTCCCAGCACAAATCGCTCGCTTCTGGGTTTTATGGACCCATGCGTTTTCCTCATCCGTGAGCACACCCCGCTGGCATACCGTTCTGAATGCCATGTTGATACTCCAATATAATTAGGTGCTGCTGTCTTCTGTTGTTACGCATGCATCTGGAAGCGGTTCTCGGTCGAAGATCACTACTGCAGCTTTGACCGAGCTGCGACGCGCTGTCAGTCTTTTCAAAGAAGCATCTGTTTTTGGAGGTCGAGCTGGAAAATTCCTTGTACGTCAGCACTAGCACTGGTATACTGAACACCGGACAACGCATGCTGACGCCGATGCCTTCATAGCCTATCCTCGAGAGGCTGTTGCATAAAGCTGAGCAGGCATACAGTACTGCCACTCCTACCGTGACTCGACGAGATATATTCTCGAATACTGGTCCAACCAAGTCGAAGGATGAACTTTCGATTTTCAGTGGACAAATCAACAAGGTTGCCACGAAGGCCCCCGCACCACCGTCTTCAGGACGAACCAGCCATTCACCAGGAAACAGCTCCAATCTGAGTCAATCTTCCCCGGTGCAGGTAGAAGGCACTCCTCCGCAGGCATTCAGCAACATTCATCCATCGCTGCGCGAGCAGTGGAGCAGTTTCGAAGGAGATATCAATACTCAGCTTTACAACGCTCAACGAGACGAGTATTACACAGAAGATGATGATTTCATGCACGCATCTACTGAGGATGTACGCGGAATGACCAGTATACATGAGGGTACATACCACCAAGCCCAACCGGTCCAGCATCAACAGCATCCAGGTGCACAGCCGCCACAGGGATACCGTCACCACTTTTCCGCCTCGTCGCATGGGTTTTCTCAACCGGTCGAGGCACAGAAGTCTTTCCAAGGCGAGAATCAGCGCCGGGAACCTGTGTACGCGTCTGGTAGTCAAGGACAACGCTATCAGCATGAGCCGCAGTACGCTCAGGCGCTGCCACAATCTCACCATCACCAGCCCGACAACACTCAATACCATGCGGAGCCTCCTCAGCAACATCCTCAGCAACATCCTCAGCAACATCCTCAACAACATTATCATCCTGACCCTCAGCCCCAGCCCCAGCCCCAGCCCCAGCAATACTATAGCCAGGAACAGCCTAGTCATCATATCCATGATCCATACCAGTCATCATCATCCTTCAGCACTGCAGATCCTTACGCATCTAGTGACTACAACGCAAGACCCTCCCAATCATATTGGGAATCTGCACAGCAGTCGTATCAGGCGCAGGAAAGCACTTCGTATTATCAGTCCTCGTACTATGAAAATCAGTACCAAATGTCCCAGCAACCCCAAGCTCCTACAGAATACCCATCGGTTTCCCAGCAGCATCTGCAAGAGACGTGGCAGTCATTCAATGTTTACGTCGGCTCGCCGCGTCGGCCGACGTAGAACTCCGCTCCTGTACTCTAGTATTTTCATTTGGCCACCTAGTATTCCTTTCGGTTTCTTGATATCCTCTAGCGCATTGTGTGTCATTACTGCTCAAATGTTGTATATAAACTATACGTCTTTCGTAGGTCGTAGACCTAAAGCCCTTGGCATAGGTACTTCCCCCTTGTAACTTGCGCTCTGCAAAGCTCCATTTCCGTTGGTACAGCGAGAATTGAAGCCAATAAAATCCCAGAGCTATCGGCAAAACCAATGGAACCTATCTTGAACTCGCGCTCTTGCTTTATGACATCGGGATTGTGCGTCGAGGCTGGATCCGGTTGCTCTTGATTGATACAATAGAACACGTTGACGCTAGTAGTCATTCAATCAGATCATCAACCTATATCTGGACAAAAATAAGACACACTATGCCAAACCACCGCATACGCCTTCAATACTGATGAGTATGAAAACCAGGAATATACTTCCTGCCTCACGATCTTCTGGAAGTAGCCCGACAGCGGATTCAAATACTAGCAGAAGCAGTATTGCGAACTGGATGATAGCCGGAGCAGGAAGGAGATGGGCCGGAAGGGTTTTCAAGCCCAGAGATATGCTTGAGCGAGAGAAAAAGACCGTGGTTTGGTAGACTAGCTATGAATGGATCGTTATCAAAAATGTATTTCAGGATCACGGCGAATTATCATGCAAACCTGCCAAAGTGGATAGTAGTCGCGGGTAGAATGAATGATCTTGCTGAGGAGGCCGTGTGACGGAACGGGAAATAATAAAGTCGGTGCGACACCCTGTATATGTTCAGAAAGACTATAAGTGCAAAGATAGCCATGACGTACCTGGTTGATAGTATACTCAAGCTAGGTTGTGCAGGTCAGAAGGCATGCTCCGTGTCTAAGAAACATCGACTACTTACGGTATAAACACAAACTGGTAGTAAATTATTAGACACATAAGAATCACGAGTAATAAAGATTGCTCACATAGTGGAAGCATATACTTCAATAACATCGGTTTGACTAGACGCCATTTATCCGCGGCTGATAAGCGGACGGTAACCTTGGGCTCCACACGAGATTCTACATCATCTTGAGCAGACAAATCATCATCAATTTCAGTCTCAAGATCGTCAGCGGGGACCAGCGTGTATGACGTAGAGGATGACTGGTGCATGAATGCTGCTGGACGGGGGAGCAGGAAAAAGTATGCCAGAGGAAGGACGAATGGAAGAACCTGTGATGCAATATGAGCGATTGTTTTGGCTGCTATGCCCATATTGTTACCGCTGAGATGCCAACACCAGTACTGACACCCAGGCCCCTGAGTTCCCACCACATAAATGCTCCGACAATACCTGCAGCTCCTGTACCTGAGGCGAAGTATCTGTCAAGTGGAATCAACATGAAATAGCTCGAAGGGTGAGACAATGCGGACCCAACGCTTCGACCTCCTACCGAACGGCTGTATGTTGTCGAAAGTTGCAAAAAGGTCATTTCTCCCAGACCTATAGTTTGTCGTTCACGTGAGAAACACTGGTGGGTGTGCATGATGAATGTGTAAACTCACCCGACGAAAACGACGCGAGACATATTCCCAGCAGCCTCGAATACAGGCTTTCATGGAAGGCAACGACCTGTGGGTAATATGAATTGTGATTTCAAAGAAAGTCTGTTGTCAGATTACCAGCATGCCTATGAAGCTTAGCGTGCAGCAGGCGACAATGCGTCGAGCATAACGTATGCGACCTTTGAGAAAGTACGGCCACCCGAGCTTCACAATTAAGGCCGGAGCGATATTACAAAAGGCAATGATGCCCTTAGGTGTCGACGGAGGGACGAGGTCGAGTGCAGCCGAAAGTATGATGACGTAGAGTACTTCATGATGATCAGAGCAGCCATTTGAAAAAACAAAAATGGCACACCGTTATTTATGAGTCCAAAGAGAAAGAAAGAAAATCCAAGCTTCAAGGACAATCGTTTCTTGCCTGCCGAACAAGCCAAATCAGTAAAGTTTGAAACTCCATTAAAAATGGCGTCATGGTACAAGGTAAGTACTAATTCTAGCTCAGCGCGGCGTCTACTTCACGGTTTGGAAAGCTTTGCTACAATCAACACAACACTTGCCATGCATATCGAACACTGACCTGTGCTTGGTATAACAAAATGTCCTTCGGTATGAAGAGCGGCTGTGCTGTGGGGTTCGACAGACATCTCCGAGAGAGCACCGGCTTGCCAGTGGATATCGTGGGCACGAAGAGAGTTCTGGCGTATAGACTGGAGTTCCAGATCACCTTAATAAGGCTCAAATGTATCAATATCACGATGAAACACTGCAGCTGTGCGCCTGGGATAATAGCTGGTCAAGAATAAAGGTGCAACATGCAAAACACGATGCATGATAACCTCGCTGCCCGGATCTCAGCTAACCCCTAAAGAGGGGGTCGGTAACTTGGGGGCTCATCGACACAATTACACTAGTTAGGAGGCCCCGGGCCCCACGGTAACGACTCCACCCCGAAAGACACTTTTATGCAGATATGTCTTCGTGCTGCCGTTAAAAACACCCAGCTCTGAACAGATATATCCTCGCTATTAGTCCTTGCGTAAATCTGTCTGTGGGAATTTTTTTGCCATCACCGGCACCAGTCAAGCTTAACAGTTTCAAACATATTTTTCTAATTTATATCATAGTGTCTTCAATGCCCGAGCAGGGTTCGCTGCGGCTACCGCACTCAGTACTCAGCAACGAACTACTTGCATGTCCGAGTCGCGTCGTCAACCGCATTGCACCAAGGCAAGAGCGGAAACACGACTTACTGTAGCTTGGCGGGTCACGTCCCCTCACTGTCAGGCCCGACACAGACCAATTTGGGCTACCATGCCGGTAAGCCACGGGGTTATTAGAAAACTACCCATACTCACACCCCAAAGTCCTACTTCTTCTATGCATATAAAGCTAGGGCAGCAAAGATTCCTGTCGCAGAAGATGGGACAGACACCATCATCACTGACAACTGGCATAGACACTGTCAACTTGAAAGCAGCAACAACAGCGAGGATGAAGGAGAGCCGCATTATCTGTGAGATGTGTGCGGTAGGAAAACAGCTTGCTTTATGTCCTGAATAATGTTCTGCTCGCCCAAACAACCTCTTCAGAACATATGATATTTGTATTGCCAGCAGACCTCAGGTTTGATTCGCTCTATCTTTGACATTATCTGAGCGGCAGACACTAGGAAATGCTGGTAATATGTAATTCCAACCCGTTGTGGCATATAGCCTGGGATAGGTGATGACGATGATCCCTGGAGATGGATACTAACAGAAATCCAGAGTCTCGTTATGCATGGGAGAACGCTAAACTGGATACCAGGAGATCAGCAGCTGGCTTGGGAGATCTCGAAAGACCCAGGTATACTTGTATTTTCAGAACGCACACTATGCAGTATCCTATCGTGCCAGACCCCCGCGTCATTGATCAGCAAAATTTTAGCCCTGAAATGCATCATATGTGTCTCTGTACGTGGGCTGACGTTGGTTCCCCATTACAGGTACAGACGTGGCACTAGACACAATTTACGTGAAGGAATGCTGTGCTATCTCTTCATTTAGATGAATTGTTGTGAGGACAGAGCGCTGGTGCACTAATGCTGAGTCCCCTGCATCATGCCATGAACGTCAGAAACTCAGAAGTTACAGATCACTGTCTTTGATATCCACACATGGTCAACTAATGCCTGATATCTTGACTTTTGACGCATGAGATCAATTTCCATCCTCAAGGACTCCACCTGCAACTGCCATTACTTTTCAATTATCGAACTTGTCGGTAGATCTTGTGGTGCGTCACGTTTTATGCCATTCCCAGTCAAGCTTGTTCGAGACATATTCTCCTAATTTAATGTCCTTAGTGCTCGAACAGTGTCTGTTCACTGTGACAGCCGAGCACTGAGCAACGAACTACTTACATGTCCCAGCTGTATCATCGACCACACTGCACCAAGGCAAGAGCGGAAACTCACTATAGTTCGGCGGGTCAATTACGGACACACATAAATTCGACCTACCACACCGGTAAGCCACGGGGTTAGATGAAAACTACTCATGCTCACATCCCAGGGGTTAAGTTCGATTGGCTGGCAATCATAGGAAGGGCAGCAATCACCCACGTTGCAGTAGACGGGACAGTCACCGTCATCAACAACAACTGGTATAGACACTGCCAACTTGAAAGCAGCAACAATGGCGAGGATGAGGGAAAGACGCATTATCTGTGAGATGTGATATCTCATATGGGGTTCCAAAAACAAACCTAAAGGGTAAGGTAGGAAGACAGCTTGCGTTTATATCCTGAATAATGTTCTGTTCACCCGAAATACTTCTTCAGACAGATGTCATTTGGATTGCCAGCAGACCTCACGCTTGATTTTCTCATCCTCTTAGTTCCGGCCCGTTGATTCCTGGAGCTACTAGGCTAGGCTCAAGAATCTTACAGTGGACACTGATAGAAATTTAGGGTTTCATCATGCATGGGGAAACATGAAACTGGATACCGGGAGATCAGCAGTTGACTTCGAATATATCTATTCTAAAGGAGAGTGCTCTCAGGTGTACTTTTATTTTTGTAGCACATACTATGCAGTACTATATAATGCCGGACCCCAGTGGTCGGCAAAACCCCATTTAACCACGAACCACTGTAGGGTCATTATACGTGTCTGATATAGTTTCGCCATTCACTTTAATTGAGGGACCAACATGCTTGTGCAATTTTCAATTCCGCGCCTCGACGTGACCTTGTTTTGTGCACCATTTCTCACAAAGATCCCAGACCTGCTGCATGTACATCTATCATCACTTTTAACGTACATTCCAACTGCGCAGAAATTTTGTGTACGTACTCAAACCACCCCGTCAAAGCAAAACCTACAAGCTTCAACATTGCAACATCCAGCGGGTATGTCCCCACCAAAATGACCACAAAATATCACGGCTTGGAATACATCGGCTAGGATGCGTTTAATGTTATGTTTAATTTATCCTGACTCTGGGGTCATACATAGATTCTTGTCATGGCATCGTGCCATTCGTCAGACATGCATTTTCCCAATCCGATCTACGGTCTGCCAATATCCGTATGCGCAAGGTATAAAAAGCAAGCCTGATTCTTACTGCGTCCACTCCCCTCAGATTTATCAGATCCCGTATCATCCTGTACAGAAAATGCGTTTCTCAGACTCAATCCTCGCCGTTATGATTACTTTGACAGCATCCATGTCTGTCAGTGTCAGTGCATGTGTTGGCCCACACGCCATTTGCAAATCCGAGACGGATTGCTGCCCCGGCATTTATGGTTGTAACTATGAAACTGTGAGTATGGACCGTTTGTTTGATTCGACACCATGGCTCACCTTTGTAATACTCATAGCACACCTGCGAAATCATATAGTTGTAGCCAGAGTCACTGACGATCACAACGCTACGTTGGCATATCCCTGCCTTGATACCGTGCTTGATCGCATAATATATAGTTCGTTGCTGAGTCGATCGAGGTTCTGTGTAGGGTTGAACAATGTATACATTGTTTTCCAAGAAATTATTTGGCGCGTCAGTATGCTGGAGTGACATTGTAGTCGGTAGACAGTGATTGTACGCTTTGGCGTGTGTTGTTCCCCGCTTAGATGGGCATTAAAATTTAAAATACCCCCTGGCGTGAAGATAAACATCAAGTTTTGTCTCCAGATAAAATAGATCACCTGACGATCACCCAGTCACGAGCAGATCTCTCTGTTTGAGAATTGATTTGTGAAATAACGCTGGTAGAAACCTGCTGGGACTAGGACTGCACAACGTAAAAAACCTCTGGGTTGCTTGCTGATATATGTGAGACATACAAGGACCCTTCGATCGACTCTTCGACAATATATTGTGTTCACAGTAGCAACTCGTCCTTCGTTCGTTTCTCCAAATAGACACATCGTGTCTTTTCGTTGTTCTTACCCTCGACGACGCTGTGTACAGTTGACCGTGGGTAAAGGAATCCGTTCGAAAGTTGAGCACGGTTCGTGCCAGTATTAATCCTCGATACCATCGAATGTAGTTGCATACGCGAGTCGCAGAGGAAACTCTTCGACTCACTGTCCACGACGGACAGTTTGGATGGAACGCAAAGTTGATGCGGGGGATGTGGTCATGGCTCTCAAATATATTGAGGAGTTGAACTTTGACAAACTGACTGTGTCCGAAGGTCCTAAGGTAGTGTCTTTGATAGTCACGATGCCGATGATATTGTGCATGGTCACGGTGGCCGTGATAATAGGACTCGGAGGCAGCTGCCAGCACTGCACAGCATGACGTATGAATGCAATAGTACCCGAACCGGTTGGCCTCGCATCATGTCCTTGCGAAAACTTCGGTCGACCCAACAAACGGACATGGTGGAAAGGATAAGCGCGTCCATTATGCATCATGCGGAAGTTTATCATAGGACTGTCACGGCGCATTACCGTGACCAGCCTGTGACCACCAGTGCGCTGTACCGTGACAAGCACTTATACCTCTTCTCTGGAGTCTGGAGCACCCATAAATGCTGTACTTAGAACGGCACATCGAACTAGGCCAAAGACAGTAATCTGGATCCCTACTTCCTAGTGCTACCGTATCACAGGTGACCACACAAGTTATAATGGGGTCGGGTAACTCCTTCCGCGGGCGAAAGGGTTGAACCTGTCAGTCTGACCAATTGAACATCTGACAGAGTTTTCAGGTCATGGTTCTTGAAGCTTGACAAGAACGTACGGTATCTCTCAGGGCAAAATGCTAAGACTGACACCATCCGATCCCACACTTACTCCGCGTTAGTTATCATACGAGCACGGCTTTTCTCGGTGCACGGATGATATTCGTTCCGTCTTGCGTTTAAAAGAGATCATATGGGTGGTTTTTGGTCTCCTTCGATCCATTCAGAGGCACAATGCCAAGTCTTACGGTTCCACAAACTCCAAGATATGTCCCTGCCCAGCCTACTAAGGAAAAACGTGGGTGATATAGAAGTGACACCACTGTAAGATGCGTGCATCTAATGTACCTCTCATATCCAGTCCAATATGCAGATCTTGCCATCATCGACCTCTCCAAAGCAGCTACCGCAGAAGGCCGCGCAGAACTAGCGGTTGAACTACGAGAGGCCTTGACTACTCATGGGTTTTGCTATATTATCAACCACGGGTACACTCAAGCTCAGGTGAAATATGTATCAAGTATTGTTTCTCTCGCGTATTCTCACTTTCAAGTGCAGAATGAGAGGATGTTTGATATCGCAGATATTCCCATGTCCGGCGTACCTGAAGATGAAAAACGGGCGTACACAGGAGACAGCAAGAAGACAGGCATATTTCAAGGCTATAAACCAAGACAATACTGGGTAGACCGTTTGATGACCCCTGCCGTTTTCTACTGTTGATTCCTTATGAGCAGCACATCGATGCAGGCGTGCGTGACCAACACGAGCACTATAACTGTTCGTAGACAGTCCATATTGGCGGAGAGAATCTAATATCCTTGGCTAGGCAACCGCCACGTCTACAGCCTGATGCACCCACAAGCACTCAGACCGTTTCTTCCCGATATCGATGCCTTTGTGCGCCATAATCACCACAACATTCTTCATAACATTTGCAGGCACGTCTTCAGCCTTGACTTCAGAACTTGGATTTGACTGTGCTTCTCAGGCTTATGGCATTGAGCCTTGAACTTCCAGAAGATACGTTCGTTAAATTGCACGACTTTGATGCACCCGGAGTATCATATCGTACGACTTATTTCGTTTCTCGATGGCTTTCGGCACTCTGATATAGCCACTAGTGAGGTTTATGAAATAGTAAACATACGACAATATGATGCATGCCATTGTATCTTACTTTTTTTTCAAGTTTCCCTAGGTCAGAAGACGAGGAAGTTCAGACGAAAAATGTCTGGATGAAAGGACACACAGGTTACTCTACTCTTTGCCAAATGTTGCCTTGCTCATACCGTAGCAGACTTCGGAAGTATCACCCTACTTTGGAGTCAGCCTGTTGCTGCCTTACAGATCCAAACGAAGGAGGGCTGGCGCTGGGTCAAGCATATAGAGAACGCCTTGGTGTGTAGTTCTATCCCATAGCCCTTCTATCTGACATAAATGCTTTAGCTCATGAATATTGGTGATTCGATGGAGTTCCTCACAGGAGGATTCTACAAGGCAACCATCCATCGGGTTGTGCAACCCCCAATTGATCAACATGGCTACACTCGGCTAAGTATGATCTATTTCTCATTCCTAAATGACGATGTCAAGTTGGTACCACTCATGGACAGTCCAGTCCTTCAGAGGGTTGGGGTCAAGCGCAAGTGTGAAGATGATGTAGCTCCTACCATGAAGGCCTGGAGAGTTGCCAGAATTAGTGCATATGGTGCGAGCGATCTGCAGAAGGGCACAGAGCCTGGTATAGAGGAGGAGGTATTGAATGGCATTGTTGTCAAACATTACAACTAGGTACATCCGGAAATTAAATCTGCCTTCACTGGGCCTCTACTTGCGCCTTAGGGGCCCACATGGTGTTTCGAAGCTAGGATTTTTCTGACTGTGCATCAGTCAAGATGTGCGTGATGTGCCCTGATAATGAGGTGATCAGTTCCTCCCAAATTACTTACGGTCCGGATGGTCATAAGATCACTAGGCTTATAAGGCTAGATCAAATATACATCCTCCTTCGTTCTTGACCCTTTGTCCTTGATCACAATGCCCAGCCTCACCCTACCCTACGTACCACATTATGTTGCCGCACCTCCTAGCAAGGAAACTTGTCTGTGCTAAGTTATCTGCTTAACGTCGAACACTGAAGTGTGAATTGACAGTGGAGTATGCCGACCTTGGTATCATTGACATTTCGAAAGCCGACACTGAAGAAGGTCGAGCTGCGCTAGCGATCGAAGTAAGGGAGGCTCTCCTCAACCACGGTTTCTTCTATATCGTGAATCACGGGTATTCGCAAGACCAGGTGAGGCAATTCTTGCATGTTGTGTGGATCGTTGATATCACCTTGACGCAGACGGATCGCATATTTGACATCGCAGACCTACCCTTCTCGGCGGTCAGTGACAGCGAAAAGCAAATTTATGCTGGAACAATGAAACAAAGCGGGTCATACCAAGGATATAAGTTGCGACAGTACTGGGTGCGTGGTCGTCGTGTCTCGCTCAACATATGAGCGCTTGGCTTACTCAAGCCAATGGAATTCAGCATATTGGTGCTGGGATCCGTGACCAGCTTGAGCATTATAACAGTGAGCAGAATACATTTGTGTCTTTTCATTGACTCGCCTGATATACCCCTAGTCAATCGTGATGTGACCAAACGAGGACATCCGGAGACCCTCCGTCCTCTTCTCCCAGAAATAGAGGAGTTTAGCAAACACAATCATTTCAACGTGTTGCATCCCTTACTAAGGCACATATATATATCATTGTCGAGCCTGAGGATGAACACCTGATCACATTTCAATCAGGCTTATTGCACGCAGCCTCGAGCTACCCGAAGACACGCTAGTCAACATTCATGACTATGACGCCGTTGGCGAGACGTATGGTAACATACTTTTGAAAGATTCCAAATCGTCGCTGACTTATTCATCAGTTAGGTTCATGAAGTAGTGAGCGCTGCCTTCTTCATAGCCTTCACAAGTTTATGTAGTTCAGTTACCCACGGACAGAGGAAGAAGAAACCAAAACAAGGAATGTTTGGCTGAAGGGACACACAGGTCAGTGACCTTAATCATGAAACAAACACCTGTGCTCACCAGTGTCACCGCGAGACTTTGGAAGCATTACGATTCTGTGGAGTCAGCCCGTCGCTGGACTCCAAATTATGACCCCTGGAGGCGAATGGCGCTGGGTCCGTCATATCGAAAATGCACTTGTAGGCGGTCACGTTCTACGTCTCAATGCATCACATAATGAAATGATTGCAGGTCGTCAATGCAGGTGATGCGTTGGACTTCCTTACCGGCGGGTATTACAAGGGCACAATCCATCGTGTTGTAAAGCCTCCAGAGGATCAGGAGAACTACCCTCGCCTCGGAGTCTTTTACTTCGTTATGCCTAACGACGATGTCAAGTTGGTGCCGATGGCAGAAAGTCCAGTCCTGCAGAGAGTTGGAATTCAGAGGCGTTGCGTCGATAGCGAGGCACCAATGATGGAACAATGGAGGAAAGCGAGGACATCTGCCTATGGCCAATCAGAACTGGAGAATGGCAAGGAGAAAGGCGTGGAACAAGAAGTTCTCAATGGAGTGTTAGTTAAGCACTACAACTGAAGCTCGGAACTTCAGGATGTTCGCTCTCTCATTATCCTTGATCAATATGTCGTCAGCGATATATACAATATGAGAATACAGTGCAGCCATGCCCGCACTGCTTATTGGGTGCTGGAGAGCATATAGATTTCTAATGAACTGTATACGTACAGCATCTTGACCCTATCTGCGATTACGTAGCAGCCGAAGTGCAAGTTCTTCCTCGTCCTCAAGGCCATCGGAATCTGTTTTGGTTGAAGCTGAACGTTTACTCCGCTTGAGTGGCGGTAGCGACAACGCGTCCTGTACTTCATCTTCGGACGGCAGGTCAAATATGGGGGACATATACCCGTCCTCATTAGAGGGTGCAAGTTCCGCAATAGCTCCCCCATCATCGCGCTCAACCTGAAAAACACATTCTGAACAAGATCTCGCAACAAAGAGACACTGGACTTACACCTTTCTCACGATCCTTTCGCTTGCGTTTCTTTTCGCGTTTCTTCTCCTTGGCTTCCATTTTATCAACCACGTCTGCACCCTTCAGTTTGTCCTTCTCCCCTTCCACAAAGGCCTGGCCAGCTTCCTTCACCTCTTTCAGACCCCCTTTGTAGAATTCTGCAGGGTCCACCATTTCGTAAATTTCGTGAGGGTTCCCCTCGTCATCGAATATCAACTTGTGTCCCAATTGGCCATACTTGACAACTGCACGTTTCGTCTTGGACAGCTTGAGCTTCCTCTTCGACAGGTTGTCTATCTCCGGGTTCGCGTCGGTATCAGATAAGTCATGATTTGCGCGCTTGAGCGTGATGAAGTCTTCGTCGTCATCAACCGCGTCGCCATGATCAACCAATTTCGAATAGTGCGCAGAAAGAATATTTTGATTTTTGCGCTCAAACATTCGATCGTATTTCGTACGCACACCAGGCTGCAATACCCGAGTTAGGAGCAATAAAATGAACGAAATGTCACATACTTTAGTAGACATGGAAAGCTTTGAATCATCTTTAACCTCGGAGTCTGAGGCAAGAGCAGCATTAGTTAACGCATCGTCATCGGACGGCACAGAAGCTTCTTCAGAGTCATCCTCGTTATCAGAAGACCCTTGCTTAGCCTGCGCTTCGATTTCGGCCTGAATAGCTGCCACCGTTCGAGACGAGTTCTTCTGTTTCTTTACAAGTTCTCTGTTTAAAAACTTGATCTTTGGCGCGCCCGGCAGCCCAAGAGACTCGGCAAATTTCTCCACAGGAAGCTCGTCGACTTTGAATATCGATTTATCCTTGTAAAGGTGGACAGAACGGACATAGGAAACGAAAGCCTGAACCTCCAGATGAGCAACAAAGTTCACCCCGCAGACATGGAATAGAAACATACACGTTGCCCGAGATACTTGATCTCTGGCTCTTGAAAAGAGAGCTTCTGGAGTTGATTTTGTATATTCTGGGTTTTGCTAGGTCTAATCTTGATGTTGTCGATCTTGATACTTTTCTTCTCTAGTGCGGCTTTCATACCCTGTTCCTCGCTGGGCATGAGAAGTAGCAAGCCACTTCCGGAGCTCTCATAACGCGCCGTTCTTCCCACTCGATGAATGTAGGTGTCAGCGTCCTCTGGAGCATCGACCTGCACAACCCAATCGACCGAAGGAAAGTCCAAACCGCGTGCAGCTATGTCAGTGGCAAATAGTACTGCATGTTGGGAAGATGTAAATCGAGAGTACATCGTTAGTCTAGCAGATTGTTTCTGTTTCCCATGTAGATGTAGTAGCGGTATTCCAGGATGCATCTTGCAAAAAGTCTCGAAAACGAAGCGAACTTGCTTCCCAGTCGACAAGAAGACGAGGACCTTGGAATGTAGGTGAGTTTTGATGAATGACCATAGAACATCAAGCTTCTTGTCCAATGTACAGACGGAGTAGTACTGCGTGAGGGAGTTGGGAGTAGCTGATGAGCTGCCGGATCCATCCACGCCGATAGGGACAGGGTCTTTGAGACTCAAGCGAGCTAATTGCGACACGGACTGGGTTTGCGTAGCTGAGAAAAGTAGAGTTTGGCGTGATTTCGGAAGATGAGAGAGTAATGCGGATAATGTCTTGGCAAATCCCATGTCTAGTATGCGATCCGCTTCATCCAGAACTTTACAAGCATGGTTAATCCTTGGAAAGGGTGCGCGGTCCGGAACTTACTGAGAAGTTGCAAGTTATCACACTCGAATCCGAATGTCTGATCCATGTGCTGCAGCAGTCGACCTGGCGTAGCGACCAGAATATTCATTCGAGCAAGCCGGTCCCTCTCATCCTTTAGGTTTTTTCCGCCTATCACGAGCCCTGCAGAGAATGCGTGAAAAGCTCCAACGGAACGCAAGACGTCGAAAATTTGTACAGCCTTGGTGATGTAAATATCAAGTGACTGAAAAACCAAGGAATCCTAGGCAGGACGTACCAATTCACGCGTCGGTGATATTATCACCGCGCCTAGACCATCCTGGGGCCCCCATTTTCTTCTGTAAAGTATCTCCAGCGTTGGGATGAGAAAAGCGAGAGTTTTTCCGCTACCAGTGCGAGCAGCTGCAAGTACATCTTTGCCCTTCAAAGAAACTGGTATACTGGTTGCTTGGATTTCTGTCATTTTAACGAAGAACGACTTTTTGAGTCCTGAATATGGAACACGTCACGATCAGTCGCGTTCGGTGAGATTTATATCACACCTTTTTTCGAGAATTCAGAAATAGGAAGATCAGAAAAAGCTTGAAGACTGTCTTGCGGCTCCTGAGCCGCCCTTGAGATGAAGTCGCGTGCAACAATGCAGAGAGTTGAATAACTCACGAATTCCATCACTGCACGTTCCAAAGCTTCAATCTGCTGCTTCTCTGAGAGCCTTTTGGCTTTCGCCAGACGCAAACCGTGCTTCACATTCTTCTGTGGTTTTTTTGACTGCTTCAGTCTCGAGGGTCCTGCTTGATCTGCCATTTTGATGACGATCCAAAAATCAGAGTTATCTCGAAGTTGCAGGAGACTGAGGGGTTATGGCTAACGCGCTAACGGCTCACCAGCCTGAGCCCTCGGAGAACTTTCATCTCGGAGACATCTTGGATTTGTGCTTACGTCAGCAATTTTCGGATGGCCGCCAACAACCTGCAGTTGAGTGAAGATTGGACAGGACAACACTTCCTGAAATGAGGATGTTGGGCCCCAATGTGCTTACAAGAAAATGCGAGTAAGAAATCAAGAAAATTAGGAAATAAATTCAAGAACGCAATCAAATGAGATAAATCCTGGGACATGATGAACGAAGGGTTTAAATAAGTGCTGTGAGGAAGCTGTACATTTTGTATCCAATGTGAGTGTCCTAGCTATGAGATGGAGGGTCCAGATGCGAATGATCAATGCACGAGACAATGCTTGCGAGTGAGAAAAGAACGGCTAGTGTAAAGCAGAGTTCCGAAACTCCTGCTGAAACAGCCAAACCTAGATGTCGAGGAAGGCTCATACAGACGAGCACTTATACTCACCGATGATTTATAAGCTACAGTTGGCGGCACACCAGCTTGTTGCTCTTCCCTAACTGACCAAGGACTGGAGTAGAAGCAGAGGTTGCGATGGCTGTGATTGTAGCGCCGCTATTGGTTGTTCCGACAGGCACTGGAGGAGGCTTTCTTCTCTTGGGCGGTGCAGGCGCCGGCCTTCGAACCTTGTGGTTGACAGATGCAGTCGGAGGAATGTTCAAAGAACTAGACGAAGACGGTCTGGATTGTTGCGCGAAAACGCTCTTCTCTGGATGGAGTGTGACAGTACTAGTGACATCGTCAACAGAACTAGCTTTCTCTCGTTGTCTAGATGCAGTGGGGGTTGCAGCCGCTAGACTCGTTGTGCTGTCTGTGCTAGAACGCATGTATGCTGCTTTCACCGACCTTGGGGAGGGTAGCCGCGGAGATGTAGGTCCGTGTATGCTTTCAACACTTCTATGGTGCTTTATAACCTTCAGCTTCGAGCTCAGCGCCTTGGAAGCAGGGTCATGCTCCACGTCCGGCGAAGTTGGTGCTCGAGAAGACACAGTATCTTGCGTCGTGGACGCAATGATGTCGTGACTTGGGCTGTTGTGTCGAAAATCTCCTTGGCGGTTGAGTGCATCTTTATCGTGTGATGTCCTTCGCAGCTGCACACACCACTCCCCTCCGAGACATCGTTCAACCAAACGTTTCGTTGTGGGGTTGATGTCTCGGATATTTCCATTTTGAATAAGGGATTCAAGGGCAATAACAATCTGCGGACGTTTATATGGCACACCCCGCATTTGTGTCTTTGTGAGCAGTGGATGCATAACACGAAGATAGGTATGCCGAAGCTGTGAAGAATACATTCAGGAACGCTTCCGAGTGCAATACTGCAAGACTCACAGATTCACTCTCCTCATCAAGGTCGACCAGTTCGCGCAAGAAGACATCCACAAGGACACGTAGATCGTTTGTATAAAAATATTCTGACGTTGCTTTGTTGGTGAAAAGAATGTAAAGAAGCTTGAGCACCAGAAGTTGCATACACAGGTCTTCAGCGGATCGCGCTATTAAACAAACATCAGTCAGTGACTCGACGATGCCTTTAGTTACTCACAAGCACGATTGAGCATGAATATCATGTTTTCACCAAAAGTCTTGCTAGATCCGAGACGAGATATAAGAACGTTGAGCACTCGATTTTGCAATTCTGGCTCCTTGACTCCAGAATGTTGATTATTGCTTAAACAGGCTACCATGAACTGCTCATTCAATGCAACCTGACAACAAAATTAGGTGTAATCTTCACAGAAATTCGGCACTCTCACGATCAATTTGATTATGGAGTAATTCAGAGTTTCATCGGACATAAATCGAGTCTGCTCTACAAGCTCAAACAAATTATCGAGAAACTGATCGTTGAAAACATCTGCGCAGGGTTATTGGTCAAAAAGCAGATCATCATCGAAGTAACAGGATCACATACTCAGATCATGTAAAGACAGTTTCTGAACCCGGCACACTTCATAGAGTAGCCTCACGCCCAGACCCCTTAACTTTGCCTCTATAGGTATATGGCCAACCACCAAGCTGGAGCGTGAACCGGAACCATTTGATATGGAGGATGCCCCAAGATAGATGTCCTCTGTATCTAGGTTTATTTCCACCAAAACGTGATCCATGAGAAGCGGTATTAGGGGTTGCCAATGCTTATGGGAGCGAATGAAGTTCGATTGACGGCGACCGTGGAACAATAGTACGCTGTATAGAATGAGTTGTGAGTGAGGATTTGTTTTCTGTAAGACAGCTTCAGCACAGGACGAGTGATATGTGAAAGTTTTGCGCACAGACTTGACATCCTCGATGACCAACTCGCACATCCGTTCAGAGTGAAACACGAACAATTCGGAGTCAAGCAGAAGATTGCATGCATGTTCCAGCTGCATGGGACTTTGAAGGAACTGTTCTGGAAACAGACATAAAGCATTTGAACACATGAAGAGCGACTTGTGCGATCATGGCGAAGCTGACCGTGATAAGAGGCGCAGAGGGACACAAACCTCCTGAGTGCAGTGTCTAACATGGATAACGTGGCAGAGCCATCGCTCGGAACTCGAAGGACATCGTCAAGCTCTAGAAAATACAGATTGACAGCCCTCGATTGTAAGTTCGAGCCTTCTTCCATGTCCCAAGGAGACATTTAAAATATGTGATAGAACGCACCTGACCAAAACTGTTGTGCATTCTCTATAAGATAGACAATCCCGAAGTCATCTTCAGCAAGCATGTTGACCTTTGATTCGGATGTCTGTACAAGCATGATTCTAATCGCTGTGTGGGTGAAACACGAGGCGGGTAGGAATCACACTGGAATGTCCGATCAGATTTTTTTGGCAGCTTTGAAGGCCTAGATTTGGAAGGCGAAAATTGCAGATTCGGACGGCACCCACTGGTTCTTGGCAACAATCCCGGGCTGAGCGACTTATAGTGAACGGCGAACAGACAGTGAAAATCGTGGGCAACCGTTTAACCTTCACTGCCGTGGAGATCCCGTTTCGGGGTCTTCACGGTGACTCTAGGAGTCCTGCCCAGTAACCGTGTAAGGGGCAAAGTTAGTAAGCCATATGTAGACTATGTGTACGAAATTCTCAGTAACGACGATGCCTCTTCCCATCTCCATTATCCTCGCCAATGTAATTAATCACCTCAGCCTCACCTAGAATAGCGTGTGTTATCATTCCTTGTTCGACATGATCCGACTCGTCAAAATCAAAAGCATTTCCCTCCAGCACTTCGACTTCGTTAATGTTCTGAACTTCTTCGGTTTTCAGCACTTCGAGAGCTGCAAATTCGCCACCAATGACATCAGGCGAGATAATCTCTGAACCAGTACTAAGACCCGGAAGGTCATCACGAGGTTCGGTCGAGAGCGAAGGTGCCCACGCGAAGGATGCTTCAAGATTATGTGCAGTCTCAACGTTGCAACAGCAATGTCAGGGTTGTATCGGATCTAAGTTACATCTGGGAGTTCTATTATGTAAATTTTGCCGAGGATATCGATCGGCGCTAGCCAGTTTTGCCAACAACACTGCCGCCAAATAATTAAGTTCGACTCGGCTTGCGGAAAACGTCAAGTATACATTTTATGTACTAGTTATTGCATGCAAAATTGGAAAACAATAAACTACGTACTAGTTAGTCTAGCAGATAATCTAATCGGTACAGGAGACACCATAAGACCACAAAATCAACAGGGAAAATATTAGTGCCTATGATATAGACGATCTTTCCACTGCGATAACCAACCCGTAGGCTGCAGCGGCAGCGAATCCGCCAACAGCCATCGTACTGATCGCTCCCCAAATGTATCCCCAAATACTCCTCGCTGCCCCCGTAACTCGTGATTTGACGGCACCAAATATGAGAAGAACTATCCCAGTAATTATGCAAGAAATTTTTAATGCATCAAGTGCTTGAGCAAGGAAGAAATATGGGATAAGGGGGATGATGCCGCCAATGAGGTATGACATGCCGATAGTGAACGCGGACAGGTATAGTCTGCGAGTCGGAATGTCCTCTAAAGAAGTAAAAGGTAGCGACAATTAGAACCACATCAAACGAAAGAATTATGACAAGATGAACATACCTAGCCCCTCTCCAAATTTGAGTAAGAAGGCTGATAGCCCAGACTCGCTCTTCATCCCCAATGATGATTTCTCCGCATCGGCAGGTGCGGATGTACTTGCGTCAAACCCAGATTCATCCTCCGCCCTCCGCAGGCAATTCGTGACAGCCTGGGAGGTCGGTTCATCGACACCGACGGGACCCAGAACATCGTATACCTCTCTCTCCATTTCTCCAACGCAACTCCGCATCACCCGTGAGTACGTGTTTCGTCGCAAGAACCGGAAATGATCCCGTTCAGCCTTGGATGCAAGGAAACCACCTATTCCCATGGATATGGCACCAGCAATAATTTCTGCAAGGCCACCGACAACAACAATCCTTGAAGTCCCTAAGCCAGACAGACCAGCTGTCAGCGCGAAGGGAACAGTCAAGCCATCCGACAACCCAATGATACTATAGAAGGAATGTCAGTGACTTGTAAGGAAAACGCAGATAGAAGGCTGTGACTTGGAAGGGGAAAACTTACATGTCGCGGATAACATCAGGATCTATCAGCATTCTATCGTCTGCGTTCTTGAGCTCCTTGCAACAAACACCACCCTGGCGGCCAGATTTGTCGCATTTTTCGGAGAGTGGTGGACTTGAGCTTCTATTTGATTCCAGTGACCAGACTGGTTGTGGTTTGTTGTCAGACCCAGCATCTCTGCCAGGTAGGGGAACTGCAGTTGTGGTAGCACTGGTAGATCCCTGGTAAGTTGAGGTCATGGCTGGTTAATGGGTGGACGATGAATGCAGTAAAGAAAATATGGGAGCAAGGGAGCTTATATAGGAACATGACGGACACGAGGGAGCCAATGATCAGACATTAGAAAAAGGCTGTAATTGCACTGGACAGAGGCTGAAGTGATGATGGATGGAACGCGCCCCCGTTAGTTACCGGCGGCCAGGTTAGCCAATGAGATCGTGGCTATTTGACACTCACTTGCTTTGCGCCAGCACGACAGCAGCGCCTTGAACGGCCTGCATCATAACCATGGTGCAAAATCGAGGCTCCGACGGTAGCCGTGTCTTTGATCAACAGTTGCGCTGTACATCACGCAGAGAACGTTCCTAGTACTTACGACATTCAAGTATACCACACAATTTTAATCGGCAATCACATGCTACAATTACCGCGTGCATGAGTTGAAAACATCCCGCCAAATTACAATGCCAGGAATTGCCTTATTTGGAAGAACTCAATAATTGTGCCAAGTTATTTTAAGCTTGATTTCGACCAATCCCTAACATGGCATTTGTTCAGAACAGCCTCTGATTGGATGTTGTTCCGCGACTTGCGGTGTGCGACAAATTCACGCGATACACGTCGTCTTCACATGCAAGGCACTGTCCATTGCCTTTGACAAATTCCAAGTTTACCCTGGGTAGCTGCTGGTTTCATTTTTATCAGCCTCTTTCGATCAACCCGAGGATTTTGCTGCCAGGCCTAAATCTTATCCCTGGGATAAAAGTGTCGCTGAAAAAAATAGAGTAGATGTGCTACACCCACAACATGAGGGGACACGTACAACTGAGTTTTGTTTCTTTGTTGTTTTCAACATCTGCGTTGACTATGTTTTAGCGGCCAGCTCACAAATTGTCACCCCCTTAGCATCTCAACGGTCCGCAGTGGAATGTCTTTCCGTCCTTGTGCCAGAATTGATTTCGCGGATCTATATCGTAGGATTTTTTCTTCGATCTCGCGGAGAACGAATATTTGGGGTGCCAAGCGTGTATGTATGCCCCGCGCTCACAGAACTCGAAGCTATTAGTAGCACAGCTGTTCGCCGAAAGTTCACAGACAGCGAACTTGACTGAAATAAGATGAGTTTGCGGTCGGAACTTTCAGACTTCCAATCTAGCAAGATACTCACACATTTGACGCCTTCGAGGTCTTCTATGGCGCCTATGTGGATGCTGTGGAAAGAACACAGACAGACTCAGGGGTAAGAGGTCACGTTTGTACCAAGGATGGTTTCAAGAGTCGCGAACGTGTATGCTCTCCCGCATGACAACAGGGAAAACATCATTCACGAATTGTCGTGAACCTCTACCTCGGGTGACTTGACAAACGTGGAGACTTTCCTTGTGCACGACTACAGCCATCGTCATTCAAGTTATAACTGGTACTCAGCCAGTCAAATGGAGCCAAGCTGCTGAGTCATTAAGTAATTACGGTATGTACGCGTATAGTTTTCAGCCTTGATAGCCTGAATCCACCTTATCGCGCGTACTTACAAAGTCATCTCATCTTAGCGCATGGCACGTCTAAAACGACCGGCGGGAATGGCGGACTGATGGGGGTACGCACGATGGTCAGCTGAGTCAAATCGGGACGTCGGACGTCGGACGCGCAAGTGGTAACTCCGTGTGCCATCGCACATGTGCAGCACTAGCTGGCTGGTGATATCGATGAGAAGTACTAATGTTGATCAATCTGAAACCAGAACTGATAAGCTGAAGTTGAAGTTTCATTGGTTAACGGAATTGGAAGGTGGCGAAAATGACTATCAGGGAAGGTGATGTTCAATTGGTGTAAGCGAGGTGTTGACGATCACTCAAACAGTTAATGATACAAAGTTACCCGCACCCGTTCGTCACCTATCATCGTGTCATCACCATGTCATTGCTGGTCATTGCCGTGTCATCGCTATGTCACTACTACTTTGGTGAAACGCCGATCCAGGCGGTGACACTAACCTCCTTCCGGTTTCATGGTGTACATAAAGTACAACTTCCAAAGGACAAAAATTGGAAAAGAAGAAACATACTATACAGTGAATATCTGATACGCGACATGTGCAGCACTGATGTGACAGGAATGCTGATCTTAAATTGACGTCGCCTCCGAAGTGTAACAATATTGTACTGCTGAATCCTATCCGCTGGGTGCGTCGTGCGTACGACTAACATAAATATCTCTATCATATGCGCCAACATTTATTAATTCAGGGTAGAGAAAAGAGCCTGAGAGAACTCCTTGAAGGCAGTGGGAGCGGGGGTGGAGTGATGCGCTCATTCTTCCAACCGACACACGAACTGTGTTCTTTCTTGAAGCGTTACTATATAAATATACATTAGAACTCATGTTGCTTCCAGGGAAACATTCGAGTCAACTGGTGTGACTTGGGAAAGCTTTCTTTCGGAGCCGTTAGTACCCTTTTGACCGGCTTTCACGAACTTTTCCGCCGCTCCTTTTCGTTCAGTGGCTTTCCGAGTCGGTGAGGAGCTGCTGGCATCATAGTGCTGCTGCAAAGCGCCAGTCCCCGACTTAAGATATGTGGATGGATTGGCGCCTTGGTAGCAAACAGTCATCTGCTAAGAACTCGAATTTGAAGATGATTAGACTCGAACACTATCGCGAAACTTGTAGTGCTGCATCTGATCTGAAAAATTGTACATCGATAGTAGACTGGCCTCCGAGCTCGTCAGTAGCCTTCTTTTTGCCAGTGGAGCGTTCCTCTTGTAGGCTGCGCATGGCAACAACTGCCTGCGCCCCAAGATAATTTGATATACGCGAGACCCATCAACATCGCCATTGCCAGTGTTGGGTCCTTAGATGGGCTGATATGTCATTAATTGACAGAGCGCGAGACAATCAATTTCCTGTGAAAGACGTTCGGTAACAAGCACGATAAACTCATGAGCCAGAATTTGACAGCAAACAGCTTTATGCGGAGGATATGTAGGAAATGGCTAGTCTGTATGAAGTCTGTGCAAACCCCGCGCCAAAGTCTGGGGACATGTCTGTGATCGGAAAGTTCCGCGCGGTCAAGCATCTTTGCGACCACTACATCAGTCACCATCATGCATGACGTCATTTATGTCAACCGTCATGCTAATCTCGTCATCCTTGTCAGCTTGCCGTCACGGTTATAGTCACCTGGAGGGAGGACATGGGAGCTGTAGGGTGTGATCTGCAGAACAACGACATGGAATTGACAGGTGAGTAGGAATTGAGCAAATACTGAGGAAGTAGTGGACAGACAGGCAAGCGTGAGAGACTCGCAGGGATCATGAAGGTAAATATACTGATGGCAGGCAGGCGGGACGGAAGTTGGGCGGGATGATAGTGACATCGTGCGGCGGCTTTGACAGACTTCCCAGCACTTTCCGAATACTGACAAGACAGTGTATGCGAGTGCATTACACGTTTTTCGATGAGAGGTTGTTGTAGAGTGTGCGATAGCGTGGCGCCAGTCGACGAATACATGGCTGGACGTTAGCGCGGTTCAGCTTCTCTAAACGGCGAGCAAGATAGATGCTGGAATCCACGGTGAAGACATGGCTTTGCAATTTGGGGCTCGCATAGCCGCTGAATCGAGAGCAAGAGATGCGGTGATGACTGGAGTACGTAGAGCAATGACCACATCAGGACTGTGCAAGTGCTGAAACTCAGCAGCAAGTAAAGTGCCCCATGATATTGTGCAAGCGGGTTGGACAGGTGCCGTCAAAAGGTATGATTGCATTGACACTACGTTCTCTATTTGGAGCATCTGATTGTTTAGTACTAACTGCAACACCACGCAGAATAGGGGCGGACAAAGCAGACAAATGTTCTGCATAGCAAACCTCGGTGTAATAAAACCGTCGAGAATAAACTTTTAGTCTGGACGTAATACACGAGGCAGCAGTTGGGAAGGGGTTGAGCAGCCTCTTAGTGCTGCAACATGAGGCCTCTGACACGTCACGTGGCTTGCCGCTGGCAGGAAAATGACCCCACGGAGCAGAAAACGTACACCCTGTTTCGCCTACCTTTTTCCTCGAAATCCAACGGAACTGCACGATGCGCATCCACTGTTTGTTGCCCTCGATTTTTGTCCGCCACACGTCACTACGGCAACGCGCATTTATGGACTGGGACAGGTACGAGTGAACGAAGGGGAAACTCAATCAGATGACAAGTTAGCGGTGATGGTGTGGAAGAAGACCTTTCGATCAGTATCTCAACACTGGCCAGAACATTCCAGGAACGAATGTTCATACATCAAGAACTTTTCCGTGATTTCTGTGACGCCCTTGAGTATCAAATTCAGTTTGATGATTATAGAATGCTTACTATTCTCGAACGAAACGGTTCGTTACTCCTTTCAAAGGTCTCATTCGGGACTGGGGAACGACAGGAAAATTTGTCGAACACGGAGCCCAGCAACATGGGGAAAAGAGACTGCAAGTGTCGTAGGCCGAGAAACTTCAAACCATCATTTTTTGAATGCCGGCGGCACGTCATGTGATGCGACTGAATGTCTCATCAACTAGTGTTTCTACGAGCAGCTAGCCATAATAATGATTAGCTAGCACGTAGTGACCAGTCTCCGTTTGGTTGCACTGCATAGCTAGCAAACGCCGATGCCCGCCCTCATGTGGCACCCGTAACGATGCGAATTTATCGAGCGCCATGGACCCCTGAGGCACGCATCGGCATATAGGTGAAGCTACCCATTGCCAAGAGCCGGACTAGATCCATCTGGGTAGTATACACGGCGCTGAACTTTGAAGGCGAGATTCCTATTTTACGTGTAGTATGTGCTCTTGGCCCCCTCGGAGATATAACCCCGGGCTTTTCGGAGTCAGAATATCCCTTCGTCGTACACTACATAGGTTTGGCATAGCACGGTGACTAGTCTAGTGGCGGTACTCACTCTAGTGCAACTCTAGATGATTAATCTGATTGGCAACGCTCATCGCATTATGATTAATTTGATTCATTACCCCGGTCAACATTGTCGATTACAGACACACGCGATGCCAGGCAATCATGATATCCTTCCCGCGAGCCTATCAGCCCTACTCTTATTTCACAAAAGAATAAACAAATGAACTGAACAGCCTGAAGGGTAGCTAGACTGGTGACCAGCTGCCAACGGTTGGCCTCAAAGAGGGATTGACCAGTGCTCGACGTAGCGGAGTCAGAAATTAAGCGCGAAGGCTTACGCGCACGCTACGCCGGAATCTTACTGTTTCACAGCCCACTCTGATCTGCGTTGTCACCGGGGTAGGAGCTATCAGGCATTTTTGCATAGGCACTCGTGCGATTAGGAAGTTTATCCTCGACTCTCCAACATGCAGTGTAGATTGGCATGGATGTACGTATTCTTTACTAAGACTCCGCCCATATGTGTATTGACCTATGCTCCATCTGCTTCATTGATTACTGCAGCCTTGAAGCATATCCGCACAAAACGCGCTGATATTTCATATGTACCGAGCGGTGATGGTGAGTTTGCGACATCAAAACTTGATCCGCAGTTTGACACATGGCTCCAGTACATCGACAATTCAATATATGTTATGTTATAGCGCTTGGGACTTCGCAGCATTCCTTCAAAGTGTTGACTCGATCGATACCATTTTGTACTAAGTGTGGCGGTATCTGTCTTGGCGCGCTCAACTTGGATAGCGCTATACTCAACATGCGGCATCTTCGAATGGCTATCCACGTTGGTGTGGTATAAAGTGGACAACTGTGAAGCTGAAGCCCTCATCACTACCGGTCCAACAACTCCAGCCATGGTCAACACTACAACCACAGCGGGGCTCATCGGTGTTGTTCTTTTGGCTCGCCACGGCGACAGGACGGCATACTACCAAGACCCAGCTACATACAACTCTACCCAAGCATACATCACCCCTCTTGGAGAGGTGAGAACTCTGTTATAATACTGGATCTCGCTCACGAGTCTCTAGCAACAAGAATATGAACTCGGGAGCTTTCTTCGTAACACATATCTCAATTCAGATTCGCCGTCTTTCATCCAGAATATCAGTACTGATGTAGCAAACATCAATCAGCTGGCTGTCCGCGCAGACGCTGGTGGAGGAAATGTCATCCTTAACTCTGCGTATGCTCTACTTCAGGGTCTCTATCCATCCACAAAAAAGTCAGAGATAACTTTGGCGAATGGTACAACGGTCGTTCCTCCTCTTGGGGGATACCAGTATATTCCAGGCAAGTCAGTCAGAATTGCTCTTTTCTCCTCTAACTTATGTGCTACAGTGGAATCTTTGGAATTTTGGCAGAGTCCATCTCTCACAAGCTGGATGGATTGCGAGGTATGAAAATCTGCACCTTCAGGACGTCATTTCATAACTCCCGGCAACAGTATTTCCAATATCACCTGGACAGAATTTACGTCTCGTCTACATTCTTAAACATGTCCAGCACCGCCGCGCCCTTCTTGACCGCCTTGAAACCTTACTTGGGGGGTGTCAGTAACAACTTCACGAATATGGTATGTCACCTCATTATATTTGTAAAAGCTTTTCTAACAAAAATTTTCAGTGGAATGTAAGAGGCTCATTTGAACACCATCAGACTGAGCCCACATCGTCTCGCAGATATATGACCACGTCAATGTCCAGTACACATATAACAAGACATATTACGAAACCCTACCTCCCACCTTCCTCCAGCAAGCGCGCTATTACTCTGATTGGCTCCAACACAATGTCTTCACCGATTCCGTGCAAAATGGCATCGGCCAAAGTAGGTGTAGATTTGATGCTGAAAATGCATCCGACTAACGTTGCTGCAGTTTCCATTCGCACACTTCTACCCGAGGTCATCTGGGCCTTGGGTAACATGACAAAACCTTCTAACCAAGTCAAGATAAATATTCAGGAAATCGATTACAAGCCATTCATCAGTCTGTTTAACGTCACGAATGCCACCGTGACTGACCCCGAGATCGCTGGTACTGGTCAGTATTGTTTCATTAGTGTATGAATTCAGCACTGCAGACTGATACTAGTTCACAGTCAACTACGCCTCTGTCGTTGCTCTTGAGTTGTCGCAGAATTCGCAGGGTCAGCATGAGGTCAGCATGAAGTTCAAGAACGGTACTCAAGACAGCGAGTTCCGTCAACTCAAGATGTTCGGCAACACAAGCATCACGCTTGATAGTTTTATTCAACAACTCTTTGTGAGCTGCTCTTTACAGCGCGTATGTTTTCTCGCTCACGGCTTCGTTTAGTGGACTACAATCAACTCCACTAACAACTGGTGCTTCTCATGCAATCAGACTGTCTACCGCGGATGCTCTGTCTTCAACTACAGTAACGACCCGTTCTTATACGGCTATGGTACCGGTTATACGGGCTAGAAATCATGAAACCACGGATGCCTTTTGATTTCCGTAATGTAAAATGTCTAATTATTTTTACTAATGCACCGTTCTCCGGAACCTCATTTCAATGAGCGAGGGCATCTCAACTTCCAGCAAATAAGAACAGCGACATCGCAAATGCATTGCAATTTCCCTCGCCCTCGTCTTGGGTCATGCTTTGAAGGATGAATAACTCTTTACCCATGTGAGACTTACCTGCAATTTCCAGTACGGGTGGGTTTTTTGGGCTGGTACTACTGTGGGTTTGGACAACGTACCGCATGAAACCTAGGCTTGTGTGAAACCTTGGACCACACAGACGTATATCCTATAACCCTTGCACTCGATTACACACCGGAAGTCAGTTGGACCTGGCACCACTCCAAATCGACAATGTGTAGATATAGTCGGTGTCCTAGCTGGAAGGGATAATCATGGACGGAAAACAGATGAGTCAGGCGCTAGGGTTGCGTGGGTAACTCTTTGCCCCACCAAACTCCGCTGTCGTAGTATTGCACCATCCGGATCCAAGTGTCTGCTCGCATTCATGGCGACAGCAACTCCATAACTGAGGGATTTTGGTGGATATCGTTTGACTTCATATCCGCGGTGATTCTATGTCAGTCTGCCTTGGGAATCTATCTTGCTCTTGTCCGATATTTGAAATGTAGTCGCATGGTGATATCACACGCGGAGTGTTTTTGTGCGGTGACTCAACTTTTTATAGACATGAATGCAGGTGATGAAAACCCGAAGGTCGGCATGAAATGTCCCTCAGTAGTTGAGTAAGATATCACCCTGCATTTGTCACTGATCTTTCAGTATGGAGCGAGGGGCGCCGCCAGCCAAAAGTATGGAGACTGCAGTCGGCGTCGGCGGAGTTCTATATCTGCGGCTAATATGTCGGTCCACCTCTGGGACATCTTGCCCCCCGCCTGTCATGCGAACTATGATTGCATGATGTCGTCATTGCAAGCGTGCGGTCATTGGCCTTCGATAGACTCGATTGAATATGACGACAGAGAAGTACACTTCAACTGCAACGTCCTGTTTGCCTGCATGCTGCACTGCCCTTGAGGCTTGAGCGAATGGAGCGCATTCCACGTGGGAACTTGGGCTGTGAGATAGAAGTGCCTGTGCAATGCTCGATGCCATGTTACTGGTAGCCAGACAAAAAGGTTCCATGTTATCTTTCACCAATGGCAAGAAACATCTGTGCTTCGTTATGGTGCAGGCAATTAAGCTTGCTCCGCCGGCACAGCGCGCGAAAAGGGTTCACGCACGGAAGAAGATTTCTCGCGGCACTGGATTGTGCCAGTCTGGCGTTGGCGCGGCCGCCCGCGCTAGCCACCGGAAACGACAGCGGAGGCCACAAAGGAAGCAGGGTATTTCAAAGAAGAGAGGATTTGGAGAGCTGATAAGTGAGGGAGTTCCAGGGCTGGTCAGATGGTAACTTGTAGTGGAGACGTGGAACTGCCCGTCTTTTATAAGCTAGCTACTGCGGACCACAAATTCTTCAGGCATTTTACCTGGACCATTAATTTTGCCATGCTAAGTAGACGATAGAATCGAAGGACGTAAGATCGTAAGCCTAGGATATCACGACGTGCAGGGGAACGTGCCTTGACTTGGACGTTGTTTAATCTTCATGGAACTTTGGAAGTCTAAATTTTAACGCGTTTGTCACTCATCACATGACTCTTGTGACTCACTACCGATGCCCGGACGTTGGTTTCGGCCTCGCAGCTCTCCCTTGATCACGCCAACCTCACGCCATGTCAAAGTCGCCCAAGAAAAAGCGCGACACTTGCGCTGCCTTATATTCTGCTGGTATACAGTGTAGTATGCCGACTGTTGATGGTCCACTTTGGTGCCCGCGACACAATGAGGTTAGTTCCTCAAACACACAGTGGCGGTACTCTATGGGGTTAAGCCGGTGGTTTGAATCTCGTTCTAGGAACGACTGAAGCTTTATGCAAACTACAAGGCGCATCATGCACTGCTGAATACACTTGTCGATAACCCGGCGTGCAGCGATGTTACGACAATCCTGGGGTGCACCGCCCTTCCGCTCCTCAAGGAATGGAATGATTGCTTGAGGCTCAAGTATAATTTGTTGACCAGGTACATGCCTTTATGAGTGTTATTTCACTGTCATCCGCTGAGTGTCGGTGGAAGATGTATAGAAGCTCGAGTCTACTTCTCCGAGCGTTTTTTCGGGTGAGTAGGCATCTCCCGTATCATTTGACCTCATTGATCGCATTGCTTTTTTACCATGATAGCAATGACATGGTATGAGATTCTAGGCGGCATTTTGAACCTGATTTCACCTGCAGGATAATAGGACTTTGGTCACAAAGCCTTTTGGGAATCCCTCGTCAAGAAACGTGCTGAAGTCGAAAGATTCTTGTACTACGTCGAGACGCGGGCCTATCAACTCATCCTACAGGCGCAGAATGCGCTTTGGGTCTTGGATCGCGACCCTGATGCACACGATTCAGGAGACTGCTCAGGCTATGAAGACGAATCTCTTGGTCGTGACACCTCCTTCCATTCTATAGAGAGCGACCGGGATGCAGCTATCGACGATCCTCTGGAGGCGGTACTGCGCGAGAAGTCTGTGGAATTCCTGGAGAAGATTAGGTCCCGTCTGGCCCGATACTGCTGCACCCCTTCTACCTCCAGGTACCACGATGAACGACTGGAAGTCATATACGCCTATGTGCGCCGCGGAATTTTCACGGAGCCAGCCCTCATGTTCTTGTCTCAGAGCTACGATAGTGTCATGGCGCTTCTCAATGATGACAACCTGGACCTAGTGACCTTGGAAAAGATCTGGAATGCTGTCAAGACTTTGTGTGTCCACGATATCAGAGATGCTGTGGACGACGTTCTGCGGGCCAATAGGGAAGGCGACTACGTGATGGTCTTGGGGGGCAAGGTTTTCAAGGAGACTAGCGGTGAGGAATGGCCTTTGCACGCCTGGGGCCACATGATGGCAATTTACCATTGTTACTCCTGCCTCCGCACAGCGTGTAAGACGGTACGTATCTATACCATGCACCCGTGAGTTAGTAGCCTATGTTTCAGTTCTCCAGATGGACGAAGTCATTGCCATGACCCGATTTGCCTTGTTCTCCGAGACAGCCCTCTCCCAATCGTGTATCAAGTACGAATACGGCTTCGACGGTGCGAAAGAATTGATCTTGGCGGGTTTCATTCCCAGCGACATACCGTTCTCCTCACCTCGGCATTCCATCATCTGCACGGATAGTGGTTCTCAGTCGTTCGGGCCCGTGTGGGAGGAGACGAAGCGCAACCTATCTCTGTACGGCTCTCTATCTCTCAACGACGCTAAAGCACAAGCCTTTGTCAACGGCTGCATCCGACATCCTGACCTTATGGTCATGTTGCGCAAGGGGGCAGACGGACGTGTCATCCGCTCGCGGCCGGTGGTATGGACCTCGCGGAAGCGACACGCGCGAAGCCGCTCAGCACTAGCATCTGTACCATGGGAGAAGACTCGCGACGTCGTGCGCTGCGAGGACGATGACCTGGAGGAGGCGCAACCCTCTGGGTGGAACCATGAGAAGATCGCGGACTGCTTGATGGTAGTGCTCGTTGATAGCGGCGAGGGCAACATGGGCGACTTTGTGCGCAAGCTGTTGGAGATTTGGTGCCAGGTGTACCATGTCAAGGATAAGAAAGAGCTTTACTGCGCATTGGAGACAACGTTCGTAGAGGCCGGGGAGCTTGAGCAGTGCACATGTGGGCGACACGAGATCACATTCATGCCATCAATCACCCAAGGAGACGTGATGAACGCGTATGAGAGTTTGTGGGGGACGCCACCGCCGCCTTGGTTAGTAGAGAATCCGAATAGGTTCCGCCTGGCAACGGATTCGTTTTGAAACGGGTCTGGAGTTTCCTTCACGACAATCTACTCACACAGGAAAGCAACGAACTCGTAATAAGTTAAGTCATTAGTTTCGTGGATATACTTCGTATCATAGTGCCACTCCCTACTTTGGATTATATATACCTACCCACAGCTAGTGGTAATCCCCTGCATTTTATATCCCGTGGTTCATGTTCATAGTATTACACATAGATACAGCGAAACAAAAACAACCCGACTACAGTACTAGTAGCACTGAATGCAGAGTAAGATCCAACTACCCTAGAAATTCTCTGCACAAAACGAGTCAGCTAGGCCTGGCAACGGAAGGACAAGTAGAAACGCACCCTTGCCAAAGAAAAAGCGAGTGCCTTTGGGATTGGAGTATTTGTTGGACATCTGGTGGAGCTGCCTGGAGAGCACTGGGGGGCCACAGAAGAACTGAAAAAGAACGGGTGAGCAGATGAGTTAAAAGTAACAACAAGCTACGAACCACTCCAACATCAGTTTCGGGGTGCTTTTCAACCATGGAACTAAACACTTTGTCCCAGTTTGGCCTGCCGAAGTGAGTAGGAGCACGCAACGAAGTAATAGCGTCTTTCTCTGCACCGACATCTTGGACCTAAGGAAAATATAATTAGTACAGAAACTACCAAGAATACGGGGTACCGCGCACTATAATGTTGTTCATGTCATCCTCCTTGATCTTTGCAGTAAGGTAGATATTGATCTCGATTCGGTTTGTCGTGTCCTGCTCTTCGATAGCCTGCAGTAGCGAGTGGAACCACTCGGCGCTGCCAAAGTCGCGGATGACCCAAGTGAAGTAGACCTTGGAGAGACGGGTAGGCTTGGAGTTGTTCAAGTTGTTCATGCGGTACCAGATGGACTTCAAAATGCTAATGCATATGGTCAATGTCATCGAGTAAATGAGGGATGTGATACGCACGAAGCGAAGGGCGTGACACCAATGCCAGCACCGACAAGGAGAACAGTCTCATAATTTAAAAAGTCCTCGCTCGCACTACCGAACGGACCGTCAACCATGATACGAGGGAGCACACGGTTGAGCGGCGGATTTGTGTTCGTGCCAATAACCTTCCCACCGCTGGCATCGACATCCTTGGAGTCGAAGTTACAGCCGACGGCCTTGGCAAGCGCAGCGGTGAAATCGCCGGCGACACGGATGTGCACAGAAATATAATCTTCCTCAGGAGCGCTGTGGCATTATAAGGATTTCCTTGCAAAACCGATTAGGGAGTGACTTACCTCGTAAGGGTGAAGGGATGCCACTGGAAGTAGGAGATCTCTGGGCAAGAGATGAAGATATATTGCCCTGCCCGAGTAGTGGTCTTCTCTTTTTTTATTTGGATTTCAACGACTTTAGATGGGTGTTGGATGACCTTGGAGATAAAAGTCTTATGACGTGAACGAACTTCACGTAATATCCGCTCGTATGTCCAAATGAGGCCACCGATGAGCCAGTATCGCTGAAAAAATCGTTGTCAAGCGATGGCACAAAATTAGCTTGTTAAATTTTACGCACCCAGAAGACACCAATAGAGTTGAAGGAACAGAATGGTTCTCTGTCCGGCTTGATCATGCACCACATACCATGGAACTGCCAAGCGAGGAAGAAGACCACAAACAAATGGTGTGTGTACCAAAACCTCTCAAAGTTAGCACGGCGCCTTTTCTCCATAGCGAACCAGACCATGACGCCCAATGCAATAGTCATAATCCAACCCGTAGCACCGGGACCGGTGGCAAAGTTTGCCTGCAAGAAGACGAGCACACGCTTGCCAAATGTATTTGCATCTGGATCGGCGAGAGCGAGCTCGTAAAAGTTGTGCATGTGAGCACCGATGTGGATTAGAGTAAAGACAACCATGGACCAGGCTGTTGCCTTGTGGAATGTTATGTTCTTGTCGAATGGGATAAACGAATTGAGGGGTGTTCTGCGAAGCAGGGAGATGAAGTTTCGGCAGACTGGCAAGAGAATAAAGATGACATCGGTGTGTAGTACAAGTGCTGCAGATCTAGCGATAGCTATGATAATATTAGAGGGGGACCTACGCGACATATCTGAATGCTTACCGTAGGTGACGCCAAACGTTGCGCGGGCTCCAGTGAGGTCGTCACTGAGCTGGTAGTTCATGAAACCGAAAGCAATAACAAGCATGTGAAAAAAGATCCAAGCAGAGAAAAAGAGGCGTTTTCCACCCTCGTTGATCATCCACAGGTCAAACTTTTGACCGAGAGTTCGAGGACCATCAGGAACTTTGGGGGCACCAATGCCAGCATTTGGAAGAGGTTGCTGGATACCCTGAAGACGGAAGCGTTCTGTTTTGTTACGCTGGAGGTGGTTTGGTAGTGCATAGTCACCCGCGCCGTCGACGAAGGGGTCTTGGTCTCTGAATGGGTTACGATCTTTGAAATCAAGGCCGGAGGACCGTTTGAAATCGGACATGAGTTGTTCCGGTCAATAGTTGAATGATACAAAGAACGACCTGCGTGTATAACAAAAGAGAGGACCTGCCTGCTGTAGAAAAGGGATATGTATGATGGGGGGGAGGGGGGGACACGGTATTATGTATGACAAGACAATTTATGCATTATTGTTCCTCGACGATCATTCGAATTCCCACGATATTACTTAACTACAGGTAACTGTTGTTACTCTTCGTTACTACTTGCAGTTGCAGTGCTATGTTTCGAAAGTGTGCATATCATTCTGATAGTCAACATCACTAAGGCTGCGCCCCCAGGGCCCCATCACTCCTCATATCAGATAAGTAGCGACATCCGGCTGTGTTCTAGAAAGCCTGTCACAGGCCGCGTACGGTACAGTCAAATTAAACTTACTAACAGAAACGTTATGGTCCTCATACTATCCCCCCTGGTATGCCCTGGCAGTTACTTTCTATCCTCGTGTTTCAACTTGATCAGGTCCATCATTATTGCGGCAGAGCTTCATCACCGTTTAATCAAAATTGATGGAGCAGGCTGTCCAGATAGCTCCGACTCGGAGTCCATCATAACTGCAATGCGCACCCTTGGCTCAGCCACGGTGAGCCTGAGCTGACAGATATCTGATAAGACTATGAGTGGTCTCAATCAAACCAAATGGATTACCGCGACGCTCCTGCCAGTGGGTCCAGGGCGAATATCTCGCCATTCCTATGGTAGGGGCACAGGTATTTGACAACGGTTCCGGTAGCACTGCGAGGAGCTAAAAATTGATAACACAGCATATGACCTACACGAAGAGACTAGGCCGCCGACTTGGTGACCCGCCACCGTGACAGTGACTTTATGTGAGGGTATTCTCCGACTCTCCGACAACCGGGCCTTGAGCTTGAGCCTCAATGGACCGTCTCTCAGATCTCAGGCCCGACCCACGACCTCAAGCTGAATTTCACGACAATAGTTCTGCTAGGCTCGTGATCGGATGTCAGTGTTCGCTGGCGCTGCTTGCCCAGTTACTGACAGAGACAGTCTGGAATTCAGCTGCACGCAACGTAAGTATACATGAGTTCAACGGAAATTATATCAGTTGTCCGTCAACTGTAACATCGAATGACTGCTACTACACAGTAATATATCAGTATCCAGAGCCTCTTGTACGGTTGGATTCGAGCGAATGGTGATCCGCCATTGAGATCAACCCATATGTATTCTATCCTACTTATCGTCCCTCCTGGTAAAAATTGAGCTGGAGTAGTATTTGCCACGTACCCTACATAGTAGTAGCCCATTCTACAAAACAATGTGTAGTTCCTGATAGATGAGTTGCAGTAAAAAAGTAACACGCCCGCCCTCAGGGTGTGTCAACGGTGACATGTGAAACCTCGCATACCTATACTCCGCTAATGCGTTATACCTGTGGCTGCTTCATGCCATTCGAAGGTGAGCAACCTCTCTTTGAACGCCTCTGCGTCCTCTGGAGAGATGGGAGGCCCGCCATGTACCTGCAAAACCTGCAAGCTGTTGAAAGGGGCCTGTGTTGTGATGTCTCTATCTCGCGCTCGTTGCACCGCATCGTTGCGTGCATCGATCAAGGCCAGAACCGCATCTGCGGAGAACTCTGTGCAATTGTCTATCTTTAGTTGGGACCAGTTTGGAGACGTGAGTTTGTTTGGATCCCACAAACGGTGAATGTCACGGATGGTACGATCGTTGAAGGTGGGACAGTTTTTGATGGAAAGACAATTGCCGTCCCAGATATTGATAGCATTAGCCATGTGTGAGAAAGGACCTTCCAGCACGAGGGTGTCAGCCTGAGTCAAGCGAATGTGATATACACAAGGTGAGAGCTCGTGCTTGATGTGTACGAGGCGTGGAGCTGGTCCGGTCTTAGACATGAAGATGGTACGGACCGTCGAGAGGTTAATGGACTGCAGGCTCACAGCTTCGATCTGAATGTCGTAGCCGTCCTGTCGCGTAAGAATGCCATCAAATGAAACATCTTGAAGAGTCAGCTTCTGAAGTATTCCAAACAAGCGATGAAGTCTATCGACGATAAGCAAGACGTCGTGCAGGTGCAACTCTCCTGTTGGGTATTTACCACCGGAATAGCGCGAAACACATAGGTCCTCTAGGTTTTGAAGTGAATCGACCCAGCGAAGGGCGCAAGCGTCGCGGAAATTGCGCCCGTTGAGAAAGAGGCGCCGAAGCACTGGAGCGTAGAAGCGCCACTGCTCAGGAACTTCGCTGCCTACGAGGGGATGCTCGCCATCATCGACCCCACATTGCAGCTTTAGCCGTTCAAGGAGAGGTGCAGTGACGTTCAGATGGCGGAGAGCAGGCAAAGAGGAGCTGCGAAGGAGCTGGAAACATAAAGCCCTGCAGCGATGTAGATGGGGAACAATCAGTGCCATGACTGCGGCTGCTTGGGCGCCCTCGTCATCATTATTTGTGCGAGAATTAGAAAGGATTCGTTGATCTCGCGTGACGGTGATTTCGAAAGTGAGCTTTCGGGAGAGATGAAGGTATGTGTTGATATCTGAAAGCTTTGTGGTGTCAAGATTGATGATGATACGTGTCCAGAAGCGTGGCACCGACGCAAGAACATCTCTCCAGGCCTTGCATACGGCCGCGGGAGCAAATGGGAACTGTGTGCGAGACTGCGGGCTACACGCAATCCACTCTCCGTTCAGCGTACTATCTGCGTAAACTTGCTCGAAGATTAATAGGAGCAACTCTGGTGGCAAGCCTCTATTATTGAGTCGACGGTGATGAGTGACAAATTGGCGTTTCCTGCGTGAAGTTTCCACCCTAGTTAGAACTGGGTGCATACGGGGGAAGAAGGTAGAAGTACTGGTCATGCGAGGTCTGGCCACTGGAGCTAAGGTGGAAACCTGCAGGCGCATAAACAAGGGGTTTCTGGGTGATCATATGTGGAGACTCCAAAGATAGAATGCTTATTCAAAAACAGTTATGTAGCAACCAACTGAAAGTTTTTAGTGTGCAAGAGCATTACCATGGTATGTAGTATGGAAGCAATCGATCATTGAAGATGAATTTAAATATCACAGCTGTTATATTCCCACATTGTAAGTCGAATCAGACTCCCGGCTAACAACAATAGCCTTGACCGCCGACGTGGCTCATAGCTTCACCGGAACCTTCAAATTCGAGGTCTAATATTCATCATGCACCACTTCCATGGTAGCCTCGGGTACTCGAACAAGATGGATACTAACAACGTGTTGCAAGGTCCGCTAGCATTTTATTCTTTTTTTTTGGGGGGGGGCAGAAAAAAAACAACTATAAATCACCAGTCGTTGGGGTGATCGGCAGTTGCAGCATGTGTGGGTGGAATTGCGCTGTTGCATGTCACGATACGGGGTCATAATATAGCTATAGGCTAACGTCGAGTGCGCAATTAAGTCTGCTCCGTAATAACCACCTTTTTGCGCTCTGCGTTTGGTTTGCTCTCTCCGGCACGTGTATGTTTCCGCCGACGTTCTTCCTTGACGGCACGAGTATCGAGCATAGTGCGTTTGAGCTTCGCAGCCTGGTAAACTGGCTTTGGCAAGTGTCGGTTGCTGTGCCACTGGTGAGCACGAATCAAACCGAGCAGAATAATTGTTACCGTTGAATCCTGCCAACTTCGTTGTCCTGCTTCCATTTGTCTTTCAAGGTATCCCGGTATTCGATTGCGGCGCGCTCCCGGGCTGTGATGATACCAAGCTTTTCTGATGCTTTGGCCTTCCATATCCGTACATTACCATCGTCGGAGCCCGTCAGTACAAAACGTGCGTCGGCAGTGAATATAGATGATGAGACCCTTATCGCAGTGTGTGAACAAACTGACGAACGGAGATACATGGACTTACCTTTGCATTCGTTTAGTATGATACACTTCTGGTCTCGTGCCCTGACCCTCCTTCCATATTCTTACTGTTCGGTCCCATCCGCCACTAACAAATTCCAATCCAGTCGGGCTCCAATCACAGCTCATAACTGCTGCAACATGTCCTTTGTAGATGTGAGTGGGAGTTTTCAGTTGCCTGACATCAAACGTATAGAGATTGTGATCCTCAGATGCAAGCAAGACATTCGTTGGAAAAGTTGGTGACCATGCAAGCGCGTTTGAGCTCATCTGCATGACAATACGACGCTCTGCCTTTCCTGTGCGAATATCATAGAGGGTGAAAGTTCGATCTGAGCCAATGCTGCCAAGTACGCTTGTTTCACTCAAATTGAATCGCACAGACGTGATGGTCTCGGTGGATGTGGGGAACGTTAAGTTGGATATTGCAGCGCTCCTGGATGCCAAATCAGCTGAGACATGATCATAGAGATGGACAGCGCCCACTTTGTTTCGTCCCATATTTGAACAATGTTTGAAGCTGTAGCAAAAAGTGGATCTGAACGATGGTGATCTATTGAACTGTGGAGGGACGTGTCAATCAGATGTAGATTCTAGCGTATCTAAGCAGCGTACTTGAATGCTGATTTCCCAGGATATTCGTTCAGCGGGCGCTGCTCCTAGATGGACTGGGGTAGATATACAAAAAAAACTCATTGCCAACTGAGAAACTGACTGTTATATCATCCTGCGGGCTCGCGTCCCAAAGTTTGATTTTGCTGTCCACACCGCAGCTTAGCAGCCGGTCGTCTTGAGCAAAACAAAGGCCCGACACTTTGCCCTTATGAGCCCCTTGTATTCGACGGATGTGTTTGCGCTCGGAAACATTATGCAAAATCACGCCTAGGGGGAGAAAAATTTTGGGGCATAAATGGTTGTCAGCCAAGTCGATTTCTCAACGCACCTCCATCCCAGCTACCGCTGGCAACAGCGCTCAACGACCCAGGCTTTTTGCACAACACCTCGACCGCGTCTATGTGACCCTCGAGAGCCCCTACGAAGGGCTTTGCAAATAGTTTGTCCATTTTGGCAGCATTCAAAGCACGATTTCGCTCACGAGCACGAGCAAATGGGTGCATCAAGGGATCGAGATTGCGGGTGGTAGGCGTAGGGTCTCCAGGACGTGCAGGTAGGTGTACTGAAGGAGCATGTTGGAGAACAGATATTTTCTGAAAGGGCTCAATGATTTACTTGATGCGACTAGACTAATGCTCACCACCATTGTAATGATGTCCGCAAACGATTATTCTGGTGTCACTTACTTAGATTCATGGAAGCGTTTCAACCCTCTGCAATTTGCACTGCAAAGTGTAAATGCATCGTGGGAATTTGATACGGTTTGGTCTTTTTTTTCGACACCTCAGAGTTGCTAGTAAGTAGTACTACTAACGCAGTGTTTGTTGAATCACATTGTTCGTGGAGCCCATGGTACGTCCAGATGTTGGACATTCCTGCCATTGATCTAATTACACTCATTTACCAACTGCAGATACGACGGTGTTTGTCACTGTAGTCTATAATGGCCCTTCAAGGGATTTAAAATTTAAACACCATTCCACGATCGGCGGCATATACCATCCCTTGAAGTTACTCGTTGAATTTTCGTTCGCTGTCGCCGCCACCTTCTCTCGCCACTTTCTTGCATATCTAAATGGTCATTTCTGTCGAGTAGTGTGGGCGGTGTTCGATGGTAGTACTACTAGTAGTATCAAGTAAGTGAACATATCTGTTCAATGTCGATAGCTTTTCATCAATTAACGCTCACCCTCACACTTGGGTCAGTCGCATTAGAAAGTTATCCACCGTTTGAGCTGTTTTAAATGGCCGTCAGGCTTCATTCTGCTCATCACATGATGGTGCTCCGTAATGGCTGCCAGGGTATATGGTGGTGTCGCTCCGATGGAGGAACAGATACAGGAGTGTCCAGGTTTCCGCTATGTTGCATCCACTAGTTCATTTACGTCGCGTGCAGTTGCTACTGAGAAACTGCGGATCAGTCGCTTCTCTCCGTCGCGCTAGAATCGGATCAAATTTTGCACCTGGCCGGGAGTCGGTGCTACATCGCTGTAAAACATAGTGTTTGCGCCGCCACATTTTACCATCACACAGCAATGCAGCCTATGTTCCTCGGTTGCTCCGTTTTGGAGTCGGAGACTTCCGACGCCAAGTTCAATCAGCGATTAATTCTTTCTCCGGATCAATGCTGATGAGTTGCGTTCATAATTTCATTTGCTTTGACTATATCATCATGCGAAGCAGAGTGGGCAGTACAAGGTCTCGATGTGACAGCACATCGCCCGCCTCTGCAATTCGTTTTCCCCCCGTATCCTTGCAGTGATCGACTCGTCGTTGTTTCCATGTTGGAAATAGTCTTTGTTAGCCGGTCGCTAGTTCGGTCGTATACAGGCACAACTTCCAGAGAAGATCAAGAGCAGGTAAGTTTCGGTTGCCGTTCGTCGACGCCACATACTAAGTACATTGTTTCATTGCATCATCTTTCTCGCACGAACTGAGAAGGGCTGAGAAGCAAAATTAGCAAATGCAGACAAATCAAATTTGGCACACGAGGCAGTACTAAGTGAAGCTGCGACTCAGCGGATGTAGAGGTACGTCTCGAACCAGACGTTTGGTACCTCGGCAATTTTCAAGCTGTTGGCTCGGAGAGTGCCATGTCACGCGAGAACCGACGCATATTGGTGCAGGGGGCCCCAGTAGTGGATACGCAGGGATACGCGTCCAGTGTCGCGCGCCTATTGCCAATCCTGCCTTTCGACAATTAATTGTGCAAATAAGGCAATCAGTGCCGATCAGCATGATCTGCCACGTGGAAATCCAAAGTTCCTACAGATCATGATGGAAGATTATATCTGTCGTTCAAAGGTTGTCCAACGATTAGATATGACTCCATTTGTATCCCCCATCATCTAGCCAGCTATATAGGCTGAGCCTCTCTCCCGCAGTGCCGCCTTAGCAGCAAGTACTGCATTAATATTATTACTCGGTCTCAGTCTCCTCCAGCCAACTCTAGCCATCGTTCATTGGCTTCTGTCCACGATCCTTATTCACTTGCCACAAGCTTATACTTCTTCTTGAGCAGCGGCTTGCTAGTATGAGTTCACCATTGGGCTCTGTAGCTTGTCTACTTCCTGCAGAAAATCTTCGCTGCATTCCTCTGAACCTCATTCAAAGTCACACCCTTACCATACCTCCTGTTATCGAGCTCTTTTTCTCCCTGTTTTTGATTTATACGACCTGGAGATCGAGGAGGTGCGTCAGATTTAATTTTAGCTGAAAAAGCTTGGATATCGAGCTCAACATTTCTGCACCGTTCCTTGCGACGGTACCCTTTAATATCTATCACCATCTGTCACATTGATCGGCTAATGACTTCACATCTAGAGAGCACCTATTGCTAGCCGCAGATGGTGTTTTTTATTTTATCTTGGCGTTTGTCGACCAGTTATTGCATGTATTACCCGCTGCGCGGAATTCGGTTGCCACTTCTAGAGCGGCCGAACTATTCCTTGGTATGTAACTATGCAACCCAGAGAGCCTGAACGCTGAGACCCACACCTATTATTCCGTTGCTGCAGGATCTGTTTCTTTTGTTCCTATGCTGTCATACACTTCCTATCTAGCCTGGCTGAGTCATAGGGAATTTATTCCCTACCTCCCTCGCCGTCACCAACCTGTAGCCAAATATCTATTCACCGGTCTAATTCCCGTGATTGGAGTGTTGGATTTCGCAGCATCGCTCGGAATGTCTATCGGTGAGAGATCTAATCCATTCGTGTTGTTCATGACTGATGTATCGTCAGAAAATTTATCCTTGCCACAGGCCCCGCTCATGATCGACTTCACCAACAAAAACGAATCGCTATGGCTGAGTCTCTGCCAGCTGTCACTTGCACTGTATACGAACTATCAATGTCTAACAGCCTTCCTCGCGTTGTACCGGCTTTGTACAGCCTTGTTCGATCAACTGCGCATCGACACCAATAATACCGACGAACGCCATTTTTTCAACGGCACTGGGTGGATTGCTTTCGGCATCAAAGTAGGAGCTGTTGAAGGCATTATTGGATTTGCAGCGGGCGGTTTCGCTATTCCACTTTCCAGACGAATCCTACGACTGATTTCCAGGGTTTGCATGATTGTTGGCATACTGAAGGGGTGGGTTTCCTCGGAATCACATTTGTTCAATTTACTCATATTCAATGCACAGAATGGACGAAAATGAAAACTTTGAGTTCCTCAACAAGGAGCTGGTCTTGTGGCGTCGTGGCAAGCCTATATCGACCTCCCACTCGCTCATAGCCAATCGACGTATGACCATACGGTCTTCACAAATCCCAGACCCGACTCGCGAATCCTCTTTAATTGAAAAGGATGTGGAACGGGGCGAGGCAGATCAACGGGTAACAGTACACGATGAAGTTGGCGAGCCGCCGGTCTTGCACACAGGCATGCGCTTTTCCGCACTCCCTCCTCCCGAACGGGTTATCCATGCAGATGAATTGCGGAGGCGATCTGACCAGAACGCATCTGCAGAAGTGCTTACATCTCACAATGATGTCAGGCGCCAGTCTGCGCAGACTATCTTCGACGATGCACGCGTTGTCCTTGAACTGACCCCTGACTTCCCCCCCGGCCTGACTAGCACGTACCCCCAGTCTATGCTCAGTCAAGGACGCGGGGATGACAAGTTAGAGCTTCCAGCTCTTGGCCGACAGAGCACGCGTCGTAATACTGCACAGTCATGTGGCAAAGAGGACGCAGCTATCGAATATGCAGCGCTCTATGCTAGCGAATTCATGGAACACAAACCCAAATTTCCACTTATATCCATTCCGCAGTCCGCGCATGCGCGCGTGGAAGGATCCATGCCGGCATGGACAAGACCTGTATCACAACAGCACAGCGGAAAATACCCGATCCGTTTTCCCTCCAGACCAACACGGGCAAGAATCACTATACATGCCCCTACCGCCCAGCCAGAAGGCGAGAGCTCGGACTCACTGAAACGCCGCAATAGACAGCTGTCATCCCTTCACTTGCTTGAGCGTGCGAGCAAATCCCACAGTGATGTCACTACGCATTCTTCACAGTGGTCAACCGTCGCACGTTCCAAATCGCCTGCGAGTATCAGGATGTATGATGGTGGAATGGTAATCAATCCACGACGTGCATCTACTCATCCTGGCGATTTGATGTCCCCATCGAGCGCAGAAACCTTGCGCGACGGTAGGCTGCAGATTGTCATCGATCGGATGCATATTACATCTGCGGACGCTGTCATACACGAATTCGAGAGTCAGGCAGCGCTCAACCTCAACCGAGAGAAAGCTTTGCGGAGACTGAATGGGGAAGTAGGTGTATGAGATTCAAGACAGAGTTGTAGGGAGAAGACAGTTGAGGAGCGAAGACAGTGTTTGACTAGACGGTGATTTTGCTTGGTGACGGCATTCCGCACCGCAACAGCAAATTTGACTCAAAAAAGAAGAAGAAAAACTACCTTCAGAATCGATTAGTTTTGCTGTATCTGTATAACTTTCTTTTTTACCTCTCTTCTCCGTAATAGTGTCTCATTCCTGTATTGATAGAAATTGCTGTCATGGGTAGAATGCGTCAAATGCAGAAGCTAGCATCATTACATGAGACTGCGAGTACAAGAATCATGTAGCGCAATATTGGTTTAGTTCTGCACGGGACAATTAGTCTGTGAAACACGACGCAAAATTTTGCAACGTACCTCTGGTATCCTAAATATCGTTATTTCCTGTTTGTTAAGGTTAGGTAAATGTAAAGTAATGGAAAACAACACAACATACCTGTTGTTTGAAGTACCGCCGATTCTCCTCATCGATAAGCACAAGATTCAGGTAGTAACGTGTGCTAAATTTCTTGTTCACTTCGCGAAACGTCGGTGTGAGATCAAAGCCACCGAGAAATAGTCGAATAGGGATGGTTTCTCCTAAGAGTCAGTCAGTAATGAGCGTAGAAAACTGTGTGTTCACGCCTACCTCTGACAGGAGCGCCATCCATGATTTCAAACTTTGTGATTGTCTCACTCTCATTGTACTGATTTGGTGGGGAGCCAGTTGTCTCGCGTCGTATTATAGAAAGCTCCATATGCTTGATTTTGATACGAACAAGCAAAAAATATATCTTGCCAACAATCACGTCCTTCAGGTGATATCTGACGTACGGTCAGCACTCTGGCTGGTTGTGTAAATAAATATAACATACTTTGACTTGTTGTATTCGAATTCAATGTGCAGACAATCCTCAATGCCGACCTCCATCTTGATGGAATTGTTACTGTCTGGAGGCATGCGATACGAGTGTACCCAGATATCTCTCTCCTTCGTAACATCCGCCATTCGCCTTGCAACAGATACTCGTATAAAGTAGCTTTAGAAAATGTCAATTGGCATCTGCATAGCACGAGAGACGTCGCACCGTAGCTTGACGTTGATGCCCTGGTAACTCTCGAATTGCTTCTCGACATTCTTGAAGAGGAAGTCAAAAGTCTGAGCTTGGCGCAGGTCCCCAGGCGATGCCAATTCTTGAGATAATGATAAGAATTCGTGATGGTGCCCCCGATCGTAGAACAACTCTAAAGCCAAACAGCAGTGAGATGCCAATGAACCAACAGATAGGTGAATACCCACCAATGCTACCAACGAATTCAACCTTGATGCCCTCATGAGTCATTCGCTTTCCATCGCGAACGCGAATGGTCACCTGCAGCGGCGTGAGCATCTTGGACGTAATCATCCGGCGAAGATGCAATACATACCTGCCCTGTCACTGAGTCACCGTCATAATAGACTGGAGACGAGGCTGTGCGCTCCTTGTCAGTCTTTATGTCCACCTGCTTCCGCAGCTCTTCCCCTTCCAATTTGATGTCAACATCGACGGGGGATGCGAAAAAGTATGCCATTGCCTAAGTTCGCGGAGGAGAATATTTACTGCCTCGACTTGAATCACAAAAGACTAATGGCTAGCTATGAGTGGCTTAGCTAGACTATCAAAATTGATGTTAGTCGGGCGCTGACGGTGTAGATAATGAGTTTGAAGGAGATGACGGTCGTCCATTAGGCACAGTACCAGTGATGATTACAGCACAGTACAATTACTTCCAAATAAGGTAAATAAGTTACACACTCTCACCCCTCTGTTAGGGGGTCTTTGTAAATACACAGCAACACAGTCGAACAGCTTTCGTACGACACTTTTGCTTCCTTACTTTTTCCACCATGTCCGACTTCGAAGGTGACTTCGATGATGAGCTCCTTGAGCTTGCTGGCGCCACTGAGAAAAAGCGTAAACACCAAGCATCAAGCTCTAGGGCTTCCGCAGCCAAGAAGCGCAGAACGGAGTGAGCCTTCTCCTTGATCCGGCTCACCGCTGTGCTCATTACAAATGTCGGGGAACCACAGAGTCTCAGATGACAGTGACGCAGAGGATGGGCCGGAGAGTGAAGAGGGATCGGACGTAAAGTTCCCGCTTGAGGGCAAGTACATAGATGAGTCGGATAGGGAGCGGTGAGTACATCTTGAACACATGTGCAAGTGTAACTTTGACACTACCTCCATCAATCTATTGCTACGTACTAGGCTACTTTCTATGCCTGAGATTGAAAGAGAAGAAATTTTCGCTGGACGGCAAGAGGAGTTGATGCGAATACAAGACAAGCGAAAGCTACATGAGATGCTTCAAGCACAATCTGGAGATCCTGAGAGTATTTCGAAAGCTGCAAAACGTACTCAGAGTGCTTTATAGTGCAGGCTTCCTCTGATGCTATTGTTTTGCAGGCCAACGTACTTCCCGAGGCGCCACAAAAGAAAAGTCTCGTACACTAGACGAACTCAAGGCTAGGCGAAAAGCAAAGGACGAGAAGAAGCGTGTGCGTATGCTGATCAACAGTGTACTCACATCTCTTATATTTCAAGCAGACGAAGACGCACTCTCCCAAGCGAGATCGGTCCTCCTCACCCAATGACATGGACATGTCTTCGGGTGAGGAAGAGGATGGTCAAATAACACGCTACGAAGAGGAAGAAGAGAAAGACAGGAAGCTATTTTCAAGGCAGCCTGACCCTGCGGATGAGCCTTCGTCGCTGGACGACCTCATGGGGTGCAGATTAACGCGAGACCATCTTGCGAAATATTGCATGGCTCCCTGGTTCGAGGACTATGTGAAGGGTGAGTGCTGTAGTAGTCTATAATGTGTTATATGCTCAAGAACGAAGGTGGTTGGGTTCGCTATCTTGTGGGCCAAGACGAAAAAGATCAGCCACAGTACAGGATTTGTGAGATACAAAGTGAGTGTCAGAAATTGGACCGTGAATGTTTTGCCTTATTTGAGCCAGACCTGGGAGTAAATCTCACGAAGCCATATAAGATTAACGATGTCACGGTGAACCAGACGCTTGAGCTGAAGCATGGCAAGTCGCTCAAGGCGTTCCATATGGACAAGGTGTCAAATGCCCCATTCACACAGGTTGGTTTTCCGTCGCCAGTGGCCGTTTGCATTCACTCTATTATGATTTAGCGAGAATTCGAACGTCTAGGGAAAGTGTGCCTTGCAGACGACGTCAAGTTACCATCCAAGCGCGCCCTTGAGAAAAAGGTTGCGCAGATGTCCAAGTTGATCACGCAGCCTATGACAGAAGTATGAACTTTTCCATTACCTTTTCAAAGTTGTCATTGCTGAACTGGGCTTAGAGCGACATTACCGCCATGTTGGCAAGGAAAAGCCAGCTATCGAACTTACCGTCTGGTGCATCCCTCACATTGCAGCGTTCATCACTTGTGCAGGCCAGGACACTTGCAATCCGGCGACAGGACTATGCCGAAGTTTCTGAAATTGACGTCAAGTTGGCAGAGCTGCCCGCGGTAGCCACTCCTCGGAATGGGGGTGAAGAGTCGCTCAACGACAAACTCGCGAAAGTGAATGAGCGTAATCGCAAGGCTAATTTAGAAGGAATTCGCAAAGCGGAAATGTTGGAGGCCGAACGGAAACGAAGGGAACGCAAATTGAATGCCTCAGGCACCGCAACCCCAGCGGACCCGAGTGCGAGATTAAAAACTGTCCCAAGGTTGTTCAACGACACAATATCAAGGTTTGTACTCACTATTATGGTTGGTGTCACTTGGTCATCTGTCTTGCCCTTGATTGCATTATGCTTCGCTTCTCTGGTCATCAACTTCAAATGCAAATGGAATATCATACAGATCGGGCACACCGAATATAAATGGGACTGGTACGCCTGCACTGCAGGCCCATGATGGGGCCGGTGGACGATCAATATCGCCGCTCCCACCTTTAGCATTGTCGGACCCGCGAACAGGCACGAAGAAGGACAAGAGCCTGGAAGTGTCTGTCATCGAAATGATAGAGGTCGATCTTGGAGATTTTTAGAATTGTGTTTCAAGCTTTGTTGGATTATGATGATCATCTTGCATTTAGGACTGTTTGTTGTAAATAATATTATTGTTCAAATTATAACCACCTCTTCGCAGTAAGGTCCCAAGACAAATTTCGTTTGTTGATTTAATTCATGTAAAAATCTAAAAGCATAGAGAGAAGATGGAGGACCACTCCCCACTGGTTCCTAATCTCATTGAAAGTATCTAGATTGTCCTCTCTACACCTCACCCTCAAACCCAACTGTCCATTCATGCTCCTTCATAATATTGATCCTTCAAGTGACCTCTGCAATGGAACATGTATAGTGTTATTGGAAATTTGGATGAGAGTGTTGAAATATGTATAAGACTTGGTTGCAAAATTTATGTTTCAGTGGTATAGATGGCCACATACATGTCAATACCCGGCAGGTGTCGGGGACTGGCGCAGCCGAGCGCTGTTACGGTACAGGTATCGAAGACGCCCCAAAGGAGCGCTTTGCGCTCCGTTTCCTGTGGGTTACATATGTAGTTGTCTGAAATAGCTAACAATTAGTTCCGCTATTCCATATCACGTGAGACAAGACACGTGTGGATGAGATTGCGCACGGTCCAATTAAACTTCCATTTTCGGACGATCATCTTTGACCAGTGCTCGTCTTCTTGCTTGCTGTCGCCCATGATGACAGGCTCTCCAGCCTCACTTGAATCATTGAGCTCGCCTTCTCCATCGCCGCCGCCCCAAGAAGATTCGGGTCCCGGCTTGGATGCCGAGTCCGAGCTATCAGAGCTTACAGACGATGAGCTCGTCCAGGAGTCTCAGTCGCCCAAAAAGAAGACTAAGACATTCATTGACGGAGATGCTGAAGATAGTTCACGTCGTCGTCAACCCCGTCGCGGAGGAAGAAAAAAGCGTGGCGGCCTGGTCCCTGCCCCGATGTGGGACTGGGCATACAAATCGAAGAACTTCAACTCAAATTCAAATTCAAAGAGCGAAGGAAGTGCTACACCCGGGGTCGAGGAAGAGGAAGAAGAAGAGATGGCTGGTCCGCCTCGAGCCATGGAGGAGGAAGAGGATGACGAGAATGAAGATGATCCAAGGGACGACCTCGATGGCGACAGCCCCGACGGGGATGCCGACGCTGACGAGCCTCTTGACGATGTCGGCGTTCTTGTCAATGGACGTGCGAAAGATTATGACGATGAGGACGGTGCTGCTGACCCGCAAAATTCTACCTCTAATTCGGCATTGGACGAAGAACCAGAGCCCTATGCCTCTGACGAAGACGAGCTGGCACCTGTCCTTCCAAAGCGTCGTCGCGTCGACGACCCAATTTCCCCTCCAAAGCGTCGTAGCCTCCTTGCTCTATCAAACGGATTGCTTGAAGGAGAAGCCGACGGAGATGATGATGACGATCCTCCCGCCCTCAACGACCATGAAAACGACACCGAATCTGAGGACAATGACGGACCCCCAGATGCGGGCTTGGACATAGACGTGGATATCGAGGCAGAGCCGCCCTCAGCACCGGTCAAGACAGTCACAACTGTTCCATTGATTCCCATTGACATCACAGCTCCGCTGCCAGCGTCCGTCGCGCCCATCGCAGCTGCAGCTGCCTCACATTCAATAATGGCAGGTTCAACAGTCATTCATCCACCATCTCCTACTCCGTCTGCATCTTCTGTGTCTGGGTCCCGCTCACCCTCCTCTTCGCGTTCTCCGTCGCCCAAACCCGAGAACGGCAGACCGCAACGTAAGAGTAAACGAGGCAAGAAGGACAAGGATGAAGACTGTGATGCTGCGATATTAACAGCTCCAGACGCTGAGTCCGCTCTCCTTGAAGCGGAGGTGGACGATGAATTAGACATGGAGATGGAGTTAGAATTGCAGCCTGCTCACCGTGCAGAAGCTCTGGATGTGCTTGCGACTATCGAGCTGAAGTTTGCATTATTACGGGAGAAGGTGTATGTCGAGAAAATGGAGGGACTTGCGTGGGAGGAGGCATTGGTTTCCGAGGGTGTGTATGTTTACCCGTTTCAAATTTGTCCATGCTGAAGACCTGCTTTAGGAGCACACCCGGAGCTCATACATCTGCAGGCCGAACTGAATAAACGTCGCGACAAACGTCTTGCCCTTGCTTGCAGAAAACGCGTGTATGAGGTTGTATCCGCCAACAAACGGCGGAGGACAAACGAAGACGCGGTCTGGAGTTGGTGGAAGGTGCGTTTGATGCGCGTCCTGTCCATACCCGCTACTCACATTGTGTTTGATGACTCGACTTAGGTCGCACGAGATGACCTGCAAACAGAGATGATTGCTGAGACCAACCGTAAACGCCGTAAATTGGAGCGCGAACGCAGAGCTATCGAGAGACCTCAACCAAGTAAGATTATTTTCTCTTGCTTGTGTCTGTACGGTTCATGAATGTTCTTTTGCAGTGCGCCGCATTCCTAACGCAATCCCCGATCCACCTCCCGCACCCACCATTCGTCAAATTGCACAGATATTACCTCTCACAACATCCCGACGCCACATGCTTGCGACTGCATACCCCGACTTGAACGCCCTCCCTCAAGCAGATGCGGCTGCAGATCTCGATTTCCTGCATCAGCACCGTATGATGAATGCACGCATGGTTATGGGCCCAATGTATGGCGCGCCTTCCATGGATACTCTAGCATTCCATGGTGGCCCAGACGTGCGCATGCCGCCTCCGCCCCCGCCACCTGTATTCCAACAACCCAGCCAAGTGTACCCATTGGGTGCACCAGGACGCCTACAGCGCTTGCCTTCTGGACCTGCCCCAGCACAGTATGATGGCCTCCCTCCTCCCGCATACGGCCCGGGAATGCCGCCACCTCCTCATTCAGAACAACAATTTTTGAATGCAGCACTACAGGATACAACGCGATTTGCAATGCCCAAGCCAGCAGGTGGGATGGATTGGAATGTAGGAGCGGAAGGGCGACGCCGTGAGGAAGAATTGGATCGTGAGCACCACCATCGACACCCGCACCATACGCATGCCCCACCACATCATCATGTTGGTAGTCACCACCATCACCGTCATCACCACCACGTGGTGCATCATCACCACCCGCCCGAGCCGCAGCCACAACCGCAACCACAGCCAGAAATGGTTAATCATAAGCAGCAGCACTGGAATAAACATGGGAGCCGTCCGTCATCCACTCATCCACCTTATGAAGAACGTGACCGACCTGTTGCAACGCCATTCGTGTTGGCACCGTCGCATAATAGCATTGCAGGCTCGGCCTCGGGTCCTGGATTGCCAAGCGGGCCTGCGCCATCACCAAGGCATGGCTGGATGCATCAGGATGACCGCGAGCGCCCGCCCCCATTCCAAGCTCCACCAGACCGCTACCATTCCCCTGGACCTCATCGGTACGCAGGACCTTCGTCGAGTCACTCTCAACATACACAATCTACCCTATCCCGTCAAAACTCATCGGGAGTTTCTCCACCTCGCGCCCGACCCCTCCCTCCCAGTCCGTCATCAATACCGCACGCTGGATTGCGTTCGCCGTCACGCTTTGAGTCTCATGCGTCTACGGCTAGTAGCCCAGTGATGAAGCCCAGGCGACCATTGTCTCCACCTCCAATGTCTTCGTCAAAGCTTGGTATGCCGCCTATTGGTCCAGCATCCGGGTTTTCTCCTCGCCTCGCGGGTCCAGGAGCACCGCCTAGAGAGATGGAGGGTGGCATGAACGGTGTCGCGTCGTTATTTGGTGGGGGAAGCAGAACAGCTTCCCCCCTCATTTCATACTTGCCAGCCACTCAAGGTCCACGACCTGCTTCATCGAAAGTGAATGCTATGCAAATAGTAGATGGACCCTGATTCTATTCGTATTCTTCACCTTCATCTTGTTTACTACAGCTATATCATCTTGTTGGGCACCGTACATATTGCATTTTTTTTCTCCTTTTCACAGTAATTATGCCACGGAAACCTGGAACTTTGTATATTCTCTTGGGTCTTATTACAGAGCCTGAGGCCAGGATGGATTTCGTGATAATGTATATATGGGTCTTGACTTAGGAGAGCATCGGCCGAGCCGTGGTCGAATTATGTAATAGGGCAGAATGAAATAACGACCCCCCACACCGTACATATTGCTTGTTTTTTTCTGTAATCACTGATGCCACGGAAATCTGGAACTTTGTATATTCTCTTGGTCTTATTACAGAGCCTGAGGCCAAGATGGATTTCGTGTATATGGATCTTTCACTGCGCACTTGTCGGGACTTACTAGAAGAGCATCGGCCGAGCGTGGATATCCTGTATGTGTGTATATAAGGTCGAATTAATAGGGCACTACAACTTCTGTGAATCAGAAGTTTAGAATGTCTAACGACCCCCCATCTCCCGTATCCTCACCACTTTCTTATCTTGAGCTCGTCAAGATATGCGACAATTTTCGCCTACCACCTAACTTTGGCTCTTCTGATGTCTTTCAGAAGCCTTCCGACACAGACTCTTTCGTGCCCTGGACACTATCGCAATCTCCAGGAAGTCCTGCTGTTGGGCTCTTGAGGCTCGACATAGTAGATCTCCTTCGAAAGGAGAAACCTGGGACATGGGTCATTCCAGAACCTCAGGCCGGGTACCGTGTCAGCTTTGATGCATCAGTCAATACCCCGAGAAAGCGCACTGCAGTGCTGAAAGAGCTCTGTGAGCGCTGGCGCGACACTGGTGCATTCCCTGCGAGCATCGGGCCCCGAAAATGGCGGAACGAGATGTACCCTGTGTACCGGAATCCCTTTGGAGTGCACGACTACTATCCTGAGAATGATTCCGACGAGGGAGGAGGAAACTACGCCTTTCAGATGGAGCGCGCTGCGTGTGCTCTTTTTGGTGTCATAACCTATGGAATACATATGACTATCTATCAAGGGATAGCTAGCAGCCCACAAGTGAAGATTTGGGTTCCGACGCGGGCGAAGACGAAGCAAACGTGGGTTTGATTGGTTTATATTCATAAAGTACATAGCTGAATGGCCACGTCAGGTGGCCGAGCTGGTTGGATAATAGTGTTGCTGGCGGGATACCCAGTGGCATGCCTGTTTTCGAGAGCCTCGTCAAGGAGTGCGAGGAGGAGGCCAGTATGGAAGCAGACATCGTGAGGAATCATGCGAAACCCGTCGGAGCAATCAGCTATTTCTTCAGGTATCGCTCTGCAAGACTTTTGGGGTGAATTACAAAGTATAACCATGAGATGATTGCAGGAACAGAATGCACTTCTTGCAACCAGAGGTCGAGTAAGTGCTGTCTGATTCTGTGCGCGGGGATCTCAACAACACGCTCTTTAGATACGTTTACGATCTTGGAGTACCACATGATACTCCGTTCCAGCCCCGTCCATTAGACGGTGAAGTGGAATCTTTTGATGTACGTATATCTGTGTGTCTCTTGACCATGCCAAACGATCTTATGGAATAGTTGCTATCGCTGGATGAAGTAAAATCAAAGTTGAGGCAGGGAATCTTCAAGCCCAATTGTGCTGCCGGTAAATGCTAATACAAATGGCCTACAAAGTCTTCATTAAATGTTTGATCCCACAGTCCTCATCGACTTCTTTATCCGACATGGCCACTTGACACCTGATGATGAGCCCGATTATATGGAGATTGTCTCAAGATTACATGGGAGATTTGAATATGAAAGATGGTGCTGACAAGTATGATAGGCAAACGTTTGTTGCAGCGTTACAACAACTACGACATAGAATTCGTGTGCTGTATATGATTAGATGTCAGTGTGTGGAGAGTCTCTGAAGACAATGAAGTTCAAGATAGATCCACAGACTGGTACAACCGTAAATGGAAATGGCTAGCACTTTACAAAGTTTACATAAATTCGGGCCTTAGGATTTTGCCGCATCACTGCCGCATCCGTGCTGCACCCTACACAACAAGTGTCTTATATGCGTATATAATATGTCTACGTCGTCCACAAAGGTCTTAAATATGATTTATGATTAAGAGATACCATAGTACATGTTTTTGTGTAAGAATTATCGTGGTATCATAGTGAATATAGTACTTCATGGGTGCGGTAGTGACGCGGTAGGGTGCGGCAGGGTGCGGCAATTCTGAGATTTTGTGGCTGTGTGGGCAATACTGAGATTTTGTGGCTGTGGGATGCGGCAATTCTGAGATTTGGTGGCTATGCACTACCGCACCGCACCAACGCATCCTTCTTACCAAATATACTGCGACTGCCATAGACGCTCCTCCCAAGTTCGACGAGTGGGCTCTCAGTGGTCTGACCAAGGACAAATACGTACATGTGCACCCTCATCATACAATATACGGACTAACAACCATGCATCTCACATATGAATCAATGCACCCAGTCACAGGCGAGCACAACAGCATGCTCATCCTCCGCACATCAAGTACTTCCATTCACCTTCCTTGGCCGTGCCTGGGGCCGTGGTTTGGGCTTTTTGGTATGTTTCTCTTTCTTAACAACTTCGGGCTCACTTCCTTCACTAAAGTTCGGCCCACACTGTTGGTTGGCACTGTTTTAATGCAACCTCCCACTGTGAATATGAAAACGACGCACATCCAGTTCTCCTTCAAATTCTGGTGCATACGGATCTCGGTCACCATGATTCCAGTGCTCGGGGAGACCCTCATATGGATTCCATCGGTCTTGGTGCGTGCCACTGAGTCGTATATAACAGATTGTAACTAGCAGGTGCCTGTCGAGAGTGACAGGTCATTGTAAAGTGGGTGCTCTAGAATCTATATAGTCTGACTCTGAATGTCATCGTCTCGTACTATATTACTAGGACTCACTGCTGCCGCGCCCACTACCGCATCCGTGCCGCAACACGCCCAACACGTCCTCTAAATTCAACCTCTCAAAGGCATGTCCGAGAGGCGCATAGTTGATGAGTTCGACAAGTAATGCTGCTAGGTCAATTAACTTGTGTATGATTAGAGTAGTTGTCGGAAATGAGCGTTGAATGTTGGTTTCGGTGTGGTGCGTTAGCGTTAGTGGTGCGGCAAGTTGCGGCAGTGATGCGGCAAAATACCTGAGCCCCATAAATTCATCGGCATATTTATTTTTGGCACAAAACGTCGGCGACCAGCTGTCGAGGCTGCACAAGGAGCAGGTTATCTTTCTTCTTACCCTTCAAGGCCATTTGTTGGCACCTGCGAGCCAGACTTGACTGCTGTCGCAGAAAACCCAGATACCTAGTCTGTGGCTCGGGAAAACCCACTGATCTCAGTCTAAAGACGTCTACTTCGAACACTCAACCGATGGTCACGGCAGACAACCTAAATCTCGACGTGCTCGAGTTAATTTTTGCATTCATCTCTGGAAGTGATCTCGTCGCTGTCTCGTCTGTTAGCAAGTCTTTCCTCGCTGGCGTTATTCCGTGTTTGTATGCCACGATCTCTTTCACCGCAAAGCATACCAAACGATATAGACCCGAAGGAGGAGGGGTAAGTCGAACGTTCGTGAAAAAGAAACATGCATGTTTCTCAATAACTATGCATCAGATCATATCACCATTCCTCACTCTTCGCAATCACCCTGATCTAGCTGTCCATGTTCGTCAAATTGACATACATTGTGCACCGTTCATCGCAGCTGGACAAATACATCCAAAATTCCTTTGGGAAACTGCGGACGCACTACGAGTTTGCAAAAACCTAACATCATTTGTGTGTGGGCCGAGGATCCTCCCAGCCCTGCTCGGCTCCCTGCAGGGAAAGGAACGCTTGCAGGATCTACACATCTATGCCGCGCTCACAACGACGCAAGGGGAGATGCTGCAAAAAATCACAACACTACGCAGCCTGACTCTGGACTACCCGACCTGGAATATTGTGGATTCGCTGACGAGATGGGCTCAGCCGTTACAGCGAACACTTTCGCACCTCACGATCTTCGTGCGTTCCTTTCGCTTACTTTCAACATTTTACTGAGGTTTGGTTAGATGTCTCAAGAAGTGAATGGCATATTATTGGAAGCCTTGCTCCCTCTACTGCCTCGTCTTCGTGGGCTGCACCTCATTGGATGTCCAAAGGCTCCTCATACAGTGGTCATCAAAGCTGCTACAACACACACCCCATCGTTGAAAGAATTCTCTTTCACTATATTCGTGCGTCTTTCCTTCATTGAATATCTCTGATACTCGCTCATTTTCTGCAGGAAAATACCCCTCCACCAAGCCTTTTTTGCCTACCTACTATCACCTTACCCAGCCTGCAGCATCTTGCCATCGACGTGCGTCCAACATCTGATGCAACGGCTATGACAATGGCATCGCTCTTTGTTTCGCTGACCTCTCTATCTACACTTGTGCTCAAGTTTGCGGACCGTCAGCTCCCTATATGGAACTCTGTCATTGATCTCATTGCTCCACCCAGTGCCGTCACAGTGCCTTTGAAACGTCTTGCTCTCATGGACTGTGCAGTTCCAATTGACATGGTTGGAAAGCTAAGCTCCAAGTGCAAAGATCTGGAAATGTTGGAAATACCGCTGCCAATCAAAGACATTGTACGTTTTTTTCCACATGGCTGAGATACATCATCACAGGAATCATTCCAGCAAGCCTTTACTGCAGCAATATCAAGTTTGAAGGAGTTGCACACGTTGACCGATGTTGGTGATGCCCACGCAAGTCACGGCCCGCGTGCGACCTTAGCAAGGAACGACGTGAGATACATGATGCGGGCGTGCGTAAATTTAAGGACGATAGTGAGTGATGGGCGGATGTGGACGGTGAGTTCTAGCATTCTCATTTGGCGGCATGGAGGTAGCGCATTGAGCTGACTTTTCCCACAGGGACGTCCAGATTGTTTCATTGGTGTAGCAGTCACGCCCCAACGGTACAAGGCCAACGTCACACAACATTGGTTTTCCCCTTTAAAAGAATATTCATATTTGAGTTAATTTTTGCTGTTGTTCATCATGCTAAGATCAGATGACCGCGCTTATAATCTACGGCATACTGGTAATTGATGTAGGCTACCGAAGCAATTCGATTGAGTGCTTTCAGCCTAAAGACATCTCTTAGCTGCCTTCCTTCTGTTCCTTCTGTGTCTCATGAATTTCTGCTATTCTGTATCATACTACTCACCTCCACCGCGCTTCCCCGAAGCTCATCTGCTCTATCTCGGTGACCTCCCCTCTTCTGAAGACAGTCGTGGTGGTTTATGGTACTATGACTGCATTGGCAGTTACCGCAACTTGCAAGTAATAGACTTACGGCCATGCCGCAGGATGAAATATATGTGGATGTGGCTGAGCGTTGTGGGGGAGATTTCGGTCCGTGAGGTGTTGCTCCAATGTCGCGCCCTGCACAATTACTAGTCATGTAGACCTTGCATGTCCTCCTGCTTTGAAACAGCATGGGCAAAGTTTGAGAACTTACTGTTAAGAGTGGTGGATTATCGTCGGATGTACATGCACGCATAACGCAGTTCATGGCAAGTCTAGGGGAAACACCTAGCAGTCTCACTGGGGTTTTTGGCATCTATATCGTATCAGTACATAGCTATATAATAGTACAAGCAGTGCTAGCGTGCAATATGAATGAATTGTCCTATCACGCCGTAGCCACTAGCCACGAGGAACGGCGCACAGTGGGTGTTAATTGACGCGCTCGAACATATCTCTGAGGCCTGAGCGCTTGAGCAGTAAACGTTTGCTACCGTGAGACCTAGTATTGTGTCAGTTGAACCTTCTTACATATGTAAAAAAGTATTCGAACTTCGGAAAATAAGCCGGTGCATGGTAGTATCTCTTCCAGCAGATAATGTTTATGGCAACAAGGAGACTGGTACATCTTGATTGCACTTGCCAGGACAATGATACACATCTTACAAAGGCTATACTTCTGATAATGAATACGCTATTGATACACACTATATAATATATAAAACAGCACACAGCTCTAAAGCCTATGAAAGTGGTTCATAAGCTGTGAATGGCCCCAGAAGGCGTCAAACACTACGTGAGATCCGAAACGCAAAGATAAGAACACCCGACGAAAAAATATAACGCCCGACACACATAGCCGTATGCCTAAACGCCGCATGACTGAGCTTGAGGGGCCGAAAGCCCAAGCTGTGAGCTTTGACACCCGCTTATGAAGATGTCCCCATTCCCTGCTACTATTTATCGACTAGCTGGTCCTTCATCGCTAACCAGCCAAAGGCTCCAGAGATACCCAGAGCAAGGCAAACATATGGCCGAGATGAAGACTAAGAGGGAGTATGCATGAGTGTGTGACAACTTTAGATAGAATCTAAAGTACCTGTGAGGACGATGTTGAGTATTTGTAACGGGCTTTTCGCGAAGGTCCATCAAAGATTTCATATACAGGTTCTGAGGTTGATATGAAAGGGGATGAAGGTGTGTGTGCCTGTCTGTTATGCGATAGAGATGGGTATTGCCGTATTTTGTGACGATTTTCAAGTGCTCGCGGTAATAAATATGCTGGGCGAGCAGGGCCATCGAATAGGATGGGGGGAGGTAGTGAGGAAAAATGTTGAGCTCGAGTGAAGTTGCTAGCGGCATTGCTGGATTTTTGTTCGAGAGCAGCGATACGAGTTATCGTGGCCGTTCGTCTAACAAGTGCGGAAGATTCTCCCAGGCGCACCGGAGCGTCAAAGATGTCAAAGATTGGTGGAATAGTGAGTGCCTCGTATCCTTGCGTAGTTATCGCAACTGACATCGATGAAGACAGGCGCGTAGGTAAGGATTGAGTGACTCTTCCGTATGATGCACTTTGTAGTGCAGTGGCAAATGGGCGCCGCAGCGAAGACATGGCTGGATGATGAGTGAGAGCTAAGTATCATAACCTGTGGAACCTGCCTTTATATGCAGGGTATGATGCATGGAATGACCGGTCCTGATATCATCTCGATCTGCAAATACAGGGGAAAAGTCAAGAGAATAGCCTCTGGGAACAGTGAATTCTATTGGAAAAGTACTTGTGGCGGAATTGAAGCGGCTATAGGGAATTGAATGTGATCCGCTCACCTGTTCAATCGCAACACTGCGCTGACCTCGGTAGAAAGCATAGATTTCTGATGCTGCCAAGCACGCTATGATTGAACTACCGGGCCACTCTACTCTTGGAACAAACGGTAATAGAATGATGCCGAGAGCACATCTCGACGGTCAGCGGTTTGCCTAGTATGCCGGCTTCTTTCGTTGAAGGCGACAACAACTTTGAGACGACCGTTACTCAGCCGCCAAGATGGAAAGGTCCGGATGCCGGACAACCGCTTGATTATTGTTAGTAGTTAGTAAGTCATGATTCGTCACCAATGGGGAGCTAGGAAAAGATTTGCGTCAAGAGAAAGATGGACGATTGCCGCATAAACGCCGCCACTATTAACCATGGAGATTAATAGTACCCAATTGCAGATCCCCCTACATACTAAATAGAAGCTTCCGATGTACCAGTTGCTGGAATTGTGGTCACATTATCCAAGGTGGCGAAGAGATGAGGAGATTATCGAAATGAATGGTTTCACATGTTGAGGACACATTTCTGGAAATCTGATATACTATTAGTTCCTGTTAGCACCAGTGACGTGAAAGACTTACCTCAAGTCGGACGAATACACAGAGGTTGCCGAGGAGGATGTCACCGTTACAACTTGCGATCTGGCGCACCATCACATTTTGACAGAGACCTTCATTTGGCTGTCGAGGCCGGGTGTGTTTTCCCCACAAGCTCAGATTACAGCTTGGAAACTGAGATACGTATTCTAGCATCAATTTCATGTGTAATCTGAGTCCTCTCCGAGATGCGGCCTAAAGGCTGTATCGGATCGAATCGTGCAGCTTCCATGCTGCAAAGCATCTTGGTACGCTGATGGTGCTGTGCAAAGAAACGATGTATCCTCGTTGGGTTCTCCGGCGAAACGTTGTAGATGCATGTTCTCACCCGCTTTAGGACTCGGAATTAAAGCTCAGCGGCATCCTCAATTTGCCCTCAATATTAACGGTCATGCTTTTTGGAATAACTTGTGCTCGACCTACGGTGTCAAACGGAATACAAAACTTCATTCAAGAACGCTCATTCAACATTTGTCTGTAAGTTTAAGGTTTCTACATCCAGGCATCTACACGACGCAGGAATTACTGTCCACCCCAAGTTTGCCTCCAGTATTGACGAATTTCGACTGATGTGCAGCTGTCACTCTGGTGAGCGGAAAGCTCGTCAAGTGGCAGCCTTCCGACTCCAGGTGATATCCGGTACCTTTGCTTTCCATTTCAGACCTGTACATGCAATTAAAAGCCTCGTTGAGTCCATGTGTTTGTCTTCATATCCATGAGCCGGATCGATAGGGCTGGATAACACGAGGACGATTCCAGTTTCTAGAAAAGCATTTACTTTTGCCCAACTTGCTGATCTATATCCACTGGCCCCTCGACGCTACATACGATGACCGTCGTTCCATCCCCACCTCAGAGCCCAATTTCAGGTGGTCCGCTACCTCAGTATGGGTATGGCTCTGATCATACCTTTGATCGCCTTATCCAGGACAACCCCTTCTTATTTCGCGTATATACTCCGAAGCAACGCTCCCCATTCTTTGATGCTACTGAGCCCTACTTTGTAGGCCAGAAGTACAACGAGCAATATAGAGAGGCCGCAGAGCGGCTTCGACAGCCGTTTACAGGCAAGTCAGTAGCTTCAACGAGCAGTTATGCAGATGTTGCCCAGCATATGGACTGGACGCAGAGACACATGTCCCCTTACATCTCGACTACGTTCAGCTTTGCCTGGGCTATTTGGGAGGCTACCCGCAGGTACCGGGTTGGTCTTAAGCACAACATTGAAATCGCCATAATCGATTCACGTCAGCTCGCTGGTCGAGCTGCGACCGCTCTGGAGCTACTAAGAAAGGGCTCACCCAATGAGTCAGTGTTTTTTGATCGGACTCTTGGCTGCTCAGATAAGCTGATTTTGTGACGTAGAAGGCATCTGGACTACTGGAAGTGGTACAGATTCGCATTGGAGTCGCAAGATGTCCTTGTTCATGGATCCATCCCCAGTTCGGCTGTTCTAGCCTCAGTCCCCCTTCTAAGCATTATCGATAAACTCCCGTCATACTTCTTCCGCCAAGATACCGTTGTCGATAAGCGGTCGTCTTCATCGCAGTTTGATATCCTATCATGGGATACCATGGATCGCAAGCCTAGTTTCCGCCAGTTCTGCCAAGATATGTCAGATCAGTTCTTGCACCTTCCCACTGAGCATCGTCTTCGCGATGCAACCGGAAGCTCCGTTCGCTTGGCAATGTCATTCCTGCGTCCCTGGTTCCATAGTGTTGTCGTCGACGATTTCACTGAAGCGACTGAGACAGTCTGCAGCCTTGCCTTCATAATCGCGCAATGGCCAGCTCAGTGGTGGTCACGAGAACACCTCGAGATACGGGATGTCATTCACTCCCTCGTCCAATCTGTCGGCGAGGAAGTCCGTGAGAAGCAGAAGGGGATGGCGGCCGAAGAGGTTCGGAGATTGCAAGGGATGGTCTCCAACCTTGAACGTGTTGTAGAGGACTACGAAGAGACCGAAATTGGTTCATCAGTCGATTCCACGGACGACATGGTAGAAGCCAAGGTCGAAGGATCTGTTGTTATGCCCCCCTCCCCCCCAGCGTCTATCGTCGAATGGTCGGTGGACGAAGATACTCTTATCTTAGCGCTCCCAACAGCTACCGCCCCACCAGCTGCATCTTTTTCGCAGGCTGCTTTGGGTGATGTAGCCACAGCCGATTCTGAGAGTCCAGATAGCAATCGGCCGAAGACACCCACCCTTATCTTTGCCCCTACGATTGTTGTTCACCAACAACAACGGTCCGCCATAGAGCAGACTCGACCTACACCAGAATCGGAATCTCATCATGAAGAACCTCAGCGACACCCAAAGCGCCGACCACATTCGCTGGCCGAAACCGCAACCTGTATCGTCACAGGGTTGCTTGTTGGCGCTTTCATAACTCTCTGTATAGTCAACTCTCAAAAACGTACCCTCATCTACGTTACGTAAAGCCCTAAGCCAAAGGACGAGATGGGAATAGTGCAATGGAGAAGTGTTGTAAGATGACCCATGAAGTAAAAGAAGATTGTACCGTTACAGTATAACCTATTGATTATCTATGTATGCACAGTAATACGATTTCTATCAGAAACCAAAGCTTCCTGATATAATCGACAAACTCTATCTGTTCTTTCAGATGGACGTGCATGTTTGCCAAGACTCTCGTTATAGCCCAACCCACGTTCTGTATTTTGCCACGTCTCCTACACGACGTTCTACAACAGCCTGCACTTCGTCTCCCCATACAGCTCCCGGGGTTTTTCTTGGATGTGCTTCCTCTGTCCGCGGTGTCAAGCACTCTCTGACGTGCTTCTCTGCTTCCGTAGATTCAAAGACCACACAGTTCTCTAGAGTAAGTGGCTTGGTTGGATCCCACCGCAGAAGTGTTGGGTGTGCAGGAACGGCATGAGGAGGCACGACAGAACGACCAAGATGCAGGTCCTCGAATATCAGCGCAACATCATCTTCGTCGATAGGCAGTTTACTGCAAAAAGTGTAAGGCGGATCAAAAGATGTGACGTGTGGACTCACTTGATCGGCTCCCCAGTGAACTTCGATTCACGATGCAAGAGATCACGAAGGAGACGCTCATAAAGCTTTTTGCGATTCTTTATGGGCAAAGGGTTCAAAATCGGTTTTCCGGCCATCTCACAGAGGATGTAGGTCGCGATGTGCAGCCCGAAAAGAGATGGCAAGGAGCCTGACCCGCGGAAGAACAGTAAGATACAAGGACGCCAGTTTGCAAAGAATCAAGACATACCGAGGACTGGTAATATTCGCACCCTGAAATCATCGAATACTCCAAGTTCTTTGACGGCACCTTTCTGGAATTCTTCCTCGGGAAGGGGGAGTAGCTTCACATCCCCGGGCACTTCTGTGGAATAAACAACGGGAATCCCCGAGGATACACCCTGCAGCCGCAACCTGCGTCGAACAGAGCGTGCGAGAGGGTCGTACATGGTGTACGAGATGTCACTGATCTGAATTCTTGTAGGATCTGTCTTTGCACTAGCTCCCATAGACGAGAACACCTATAGTAGCATGAGTTGGATACGATTAAATATCAGTCAGTAACTAGGACGAACTTTGATATGGTGCTCATGGCAATACTTCAGCAAATCGACTTTTGTGGTGATGTTGTCTATTGCATCTTTTCATAACAAACTGAATGAAAGACGAACGAGATCGAGGAGCGCATTGACATACCGATGACCCAGTCTGCTCCCTCCAGCAACCGTCCTCCGTCCTCCTTCCTCCAGACCTCAAGGCGGCTGTCTACCTCCACACACCTACTGATCTGCTTAAGAGTCCGCTCAATGCATCCCACCTTCGGCGTTCCTACATCCGCAAGCACAGCCGTGGCATGTCTGTTCAACGAGGAAAGCGTCACATAATCGAAGTCCACCAATCGGATCTTCGACACGCCCCTGCACATAATTAGTGAATCACAATAACACGGATAGTAATAGTAATAAGCACGTACGACCTCACCAACATGACTGCCACCCAGCTGCCAACGCCACCGCAGCCGACGACGACAACAGATTTTTCCCGAATACGTGCCATGCCCTCATCCCCGAAAAACGCATAGCACCGCGCGAGCTGCTCTCTGATCAGCTCCTCGGCATGTCCGTTAGCACCAATGCGGATCATTTGTTCATCCAATAACTCATCGTCCTCTGGTCTTAAGTGCTGTTTGGAACCTTCATTCTGGTCTGCTATTGACCTAAGGATGTCTCGATCGAGGCCACGTCTCCGTTCACGTCGACTGTAGGCATTATATGCAGTAAACAGACCTGATGTCAGTAAAGATGCAGATACAGCTGCCAGAATCAGCTGTGTTCTGTGTGATTGTGCAGAAAAAACATTCATGAATGAGAGATGGTGAAGAGTTCCAGGGTCGAGTGCAAAAGTAGGTAGGTTGAATGCGTCTAGTACCAGGTCATGTGCATGAGCAGACCCGAAAAATTACTACTCCATTATGCATCATCATGATGTTTCAATATTTCAATAGTAATGTTAGCAACCGTTCGTGT